CAGAAAAAACACACTGTAATGGACTAATATGCCCACCATGAAAGGATGCTGGTTAAGCAGTCTAAGTTCTATCCAATGCCAGATAAATTAAATAATACAGAATGTAGAGTTGGGTTGATTTTTGTTTTGTCCAGTCCAATGTGCAACCTGAAACGAATTTGATTATCCAGTATGCAAACCAGCTGAACCAGCATTTGTTAGTTAAAAAGCAGCCTACATCAGCAACCTGTGCCAGTGGCATCACAGCACTAAATCCAACTTGTTTTGCATCAGTATTAAACAGTGACGACATGATTAAACATTATGTTTGTTCAGCTCTGATGTTACATGACGCGATGTGATAGTAGGACACTCGCTTGTTGTTGGGACATGGTGTCGTGTTCCAATCGGGGGCGGCTGCTGCATCAAGTGTGTAAAATTCAGTATCTTGGTCCAGTGTTTTGCTTAGTAACAAACCGGTTTGAACATTTTTACACCCACTGAACCCTAGGATGTGTTTATCAACTAGTTTCTTTTCTATTTCATCCAATTGCTCACAGAGATTAAGATTGTATTTATTTTTTTATTGGCGTGTCTTGTTGGGATGATCTGATCCAGCCTTTTCTCCTCAGTCACCAATTCTGATACTTCAACTCTGGATTTCTGCCAATACACTCTCTTTTTTCCAAGTTTGAAATTGTTGAACTCATTTTTCTGTAAGGTAACACGAGGCCAGCGATTTTACTGTGTTACCTAAGACCTAGTCAGCCGTGACTGCATGCAGATCACTAATAGTTCAGTCAGGAGAGACTTGCTCTGAGAGAACGCTCATATAGAAGTTAAATGTCTTTTGCGATTAGACCCCATCGTGATGTAAAGACGTAGGAGATTAGGGATCCCCCACCCCTGTGGAGTCTAGACGCTGGTGGTGGTAATGGTGGTGATGAGATGAGATGAGATGGGGGAGCTGAGGATCTGGGTGTGAAGAGGAGTGGGCTTTTGATGAGCTGGTCCTGGACTCTGGCTAAGGTGACTGAAGGTGAATGGGGTGGAGGAGGGTGCGGCGATTCTGCCTAAAATGACAGCTGACAGGAGCAGAGAGGAGAACAGATTTAAAGTTTAGTTTTGGTGGGAGTGGGATCGAGAGAGAATTGTGAATAACATTAAGTCTTCCTGATTGAACTACTAGTTAGATCTGTGCATCCTGATCGTGTTGCTTATTTACCATATTGTAATACAAAAGAATGAATGAAGTCAGTTTTCCATTATACCTGTAGTGTTTTTAGAGTTATTAGAAATGTCAGCAGACAGATGTGTTGATGAAAGTTTTATTTTATATTAAATATATTACAATACTGAATGATTAAGAGGAAAAAAAAATATGGGGATTGATTTTTGCATCATCAGTCTGTACAGCATACAGGCAAAATTAAAAAAAAAAGAAAAAAAATGACAGCAACTTCAGTATTTAGATTTGAACTAGTACATGTGGGGGGGGGTTCAAGGTCCCTGCAGCAGAGTGCTGATGTGTCTGGCAGGATGGGACCACATGATTGAGACTGGGTGGTATACGGATACATTCAAGTCTCTGGCCAGACAGAGACAGACAGCTCATCTGTGGGGACGTTTCTGCCAGAGTCGTCCTGTTAAGGATCTGTCAGTCCAGCCGTGTGCGCAGGCAGACGCAGCAGATATGTTTGGAGGATTGGGAAAAAAAAAAATCGCTGCAGCCTGTGTGGTCCCATCCTCAGCGGAGAGTCCTCAGAATGTAGTAGAGTGCAACGTCCATGACACTAGGACAAAAGTCTTAGCACAGTATTCTGATGTTAAAAATCAAGAGCTCTGAGGCGTAGCTCTCCGCAGCCTTAAGTAGCCCAGGAAGTAGACTGGGCCACTGGACACTGACCAATACTTAAAGAAGACCAGAGCAGAGAAGAAAGCTCTGGTTAGAAGGCAAATCATGAGCCCATACAGATCTCATTTACAACATTATGTGTGTCCAAACCTTATATGATACAGATGAGCACATGCCAGAGGAACGACCACTTCTATTGGCCCCAGGACAAATGTGTTTCAAAAAATTGTCTCCATTCAAACTCATCAACACACATAATTACAATAATGCACTTAATTACTGTTTGAATCGTTGCTGTACATAACGCTGAGAAAAAAGTGAACATTACAAAGGTACTTAATAAAAAAGATACTAGTAGCAATATTAGTTCAATATTGTGAAGATCATATTACCTATACAGTCCTAATGCATACATGAATTACAAATGAACGAGTGCCCACACCGCAACAAAACTAAACAACGGTAAAATGACAGACAGGAGGCTGTAGGACAACAACGTCTACACAAGGTAGAACAATGAGTTGTAACTGTACAAAGAACTTGCTTTGGGGGAACGATATGGGATTAGTCTCCAAAAAAAAAAAAAATCGAACTTAAAGGGACAGTTCACCCCAAAATCAAAAATACATATTTTTCCTCTTTCCTGTCGTGCTCTTTATCAGACTAGATTGTTTTGGTGTGGGTTGTTGAGTGTTGGAGATATCTGCCTTTATTAGACAGGACAGATCCAGAGTGAAGGGGGAGAGAAAGGGGGACGAAATGCAGCTAAGGGCCATGGGCTGAAACCAAACCCACGGCCGCCGTGGGAAGGACAGAGTCCCTGCACATGGGGTGTCCACACCACTCTTTGAGCTAATGGGCGCCCCATATCTGCCTTCTCTTGAATATAATGGAACTCGGCTTGTGGTGTGCCAATTTTTTTTTTTAAACTCTTGCCATTCAATACAAACTACGCTAACACTGGATCAGAAATGTGCGATATTTTTGCCCAAACTAGATACCAAACAAAAGCCAGACACTGTGTGAAAATATGCTGGACTTAAATTAATCTCTGTTGAATGAGGGGTCTCTGACAGATGTTTCGAATCTCCAACTTTTAGGGGGCAGTCCTTCTCAACAGCAATGTCTCTCTCCAGAAATCAGACATTGTTGTGAGCAGTTTCATGTGGGAACTATTTTCTTACTACCGAGCTACACCTCCCAACTGTATCACTACACAGACGGAAGCGTGCATCTACCGCTAGCTCACATAGCACCAATGAGCTAGCAAACATAACAGCTCAGCTTAGGAGGATAGCATTGTTTGCATCTCATGCTGTCACGAGAACGAGCCTCTCGTTCATGAGTAGATGCACACCTCCTTCTATGCGGTGACAAGAAAATAGTTCCTACATGAAACTGAAAGGTCTGTGGATTATCTTGAGTAATGATTTCTGGGACGAAACATTGCTGTTGAGTTTTTGTGGCGCTTTGAGCACCACAAGCCGAGTGTCATCTGGTTCCATTATACTGGAGAGAAGGTTGATATCTTCAACACTCGATAACTCACCAAAACAATCTAGACTGATCAACAGCAGTACATGTGAGAGGAAAAATTTGTTTTTGATTTGGGGGTGAACTGTCTCTTTAAATAGCTACACTGGCATGACATCAGCACAAAAGAAAATCTGTTCTCAGTCGTTTTTAAACCCTGCAACTTCCTGCCATGAATTGTCCCGACTCTGCTGACAGTCTGTGGTACACAAACCCATTTAGACAACAGCAAATAGGCAATGAGGCAAAAAGTTTTTCAGTGACATGCTCGTTTCCCGTGATGGTCTCACAAACAGCCTACCAGAGAAATAACTTAATTTGATTATAGAACTGTCATGCTGTTGGTCTCCACAAGCTCAAACAGCAAGCACTGTACAGCATAGTTAATCATTTACAAGGCTAAATATCTCAATCATCACAGCTAAACCCAAAATGCACATTTCAATCACAGCTTCCAGATTCCTCGCCCGAGTCAGGCCGTCAACTGCACATCTTATTCTCGCACTCATCTGAGCGACTTCATGTGCTGCCACATCGTGAAAACACGAGCACACTTGGCTCAAATGTAGAATCAGGGGAAAAACATCTTAATGTCATCGACGGGAAATTTCAAAGAAAGAAAAACCCCAGGAGTGAAAAGCGGCTATAACTACACCAAACACGTCGCACCCATTTCACTCAGGAAATGGCACATAAAACTAATTAAATGTTCCTAAATAATACTCATCAACAGCCGCTTCCAACAACACTCCTAATGTGCCACCATCAACAACTTCATCAATACTTCCTCAGTCATTACTGGATGTCTGTGTGTTTCTCCCAGAGATGGATGAAAACCAGTGCTAAGATAATATAAAAACACTTTTACATTCTGCTGTGGATGGAGAAAGCTATAGAGGTCACAGTCACACAGGAAAAAGCCGGAGGGAGGAAGAAAAAAATAGGAGAAGACGAAAAATAGAAACACAGACAGAAGAACCAGTGCGGGGCCCTCTTATCTACAGAGATCCGCTTCTGTCTACAACACAACACAGCAGGAAGAGATGTCTCAGTCTCTTTCAAAATAAAAGCAAAAACATACTCTGTGTGTATTTTTACTGTACATATTTACACACGCACAAACAAACCGAGGCGAGGAAGAGCAGGGCGGGGTCAGGTGGGGTCCATGTCATGGGTTATGGGCTATAACTGGTGATACAATATGGGTTACCTATAGTGGAGAGGAAGCGTTTTAAGCCTACAGAAGGTATAAAATCACTGCCCCCCTCGCATGCTTTCCTCACATCAGACCGCTGTTCTTCTTGTCTTTTCTGTAGGAGGAGATTGATGATAAACAGGGTTGTCTCATGCATACAGTGATTCACGTGCGTCAAAATGATCCAACAAGTCCAGAGATGCAGTGTGATGCGATGACCTGCTCCTGGCTCTGCTGCTCCATTAACAGAGGAGCTCCAAACAACTCTTTGGGGGGGTCAGTGGCATTGAAGTGACAAGAGCCGAGCTAAAGGAGGATGTGTTGAGGTTTAAGGGTTTGGGACAGGTAAGGAGGGATCGGAGTGGGGGGGGGGGGGGGGGGGGGGGGGGGGGGGGGGGGGGGGGCGGTGGGGGGGGGGGGGGGGGGGGGGGGGGGGGGGGGGATTGGGGTCCCAGTCCCATAGATGCGGCCTGAGCAGACAGGAACAGCTCAGTCTGAGCTCCAGCTGGTCTGGAGTGGATGTGGAGCTGGTTTCTCCGCTGGCGATCCGCATCGTCTTGTAGAGATCCACTGAATGACACCGCCTGGAGAGACGGCCTCGGAGATGCTTGTACACACTCACTCACACACGCCTTTGCCTATTTCCGCTCCAGTGGGGGGGGCTCTCTCTCTGTTTCTCTTAAATCGCTTAGAGTCAATTTTGTTTCATTTTTGTGTTTTTCATTCATAGAAAAGGAGAGACAAGTGTAGTTCCTCGAGGTCTTTCACAGAGTGGGTAAGGAGGCTGTTATATTGAAGTCTCCCACAGCTGAGGAGAAGAAAAGAGGAGAGAACAAGGGAAGAGATGATTAAAGGAAAGACATTTTAACATGAGTTCACTGTTTGTCAGTCACATCACCTCCTATTTACATTATATTGGTTCTGTCTTCAACATACAGCATGTGATTTTCTACCACCATGGGGTCTCTCAGTCAAAACAATAAACGCAGAAACAAAAGATGGAGCAAGGCTGTCATTGCAGTCAGGTTCTCCTGGTTAGAATTCCTACATTATTCATCATTAAGGAGGTTTTTACCAGGAGAAAATTATCTGCAGAGGCCTCTTCACCTCCAAAACAAACGGACCAGGTGTCTCATTTATTAAAAGGTGCGTAGGAGCTGTACTAAAAATGTATGTACGGAGAAAAGCCAAAAATTTCATGCACAAAGAAATATTCGCCAATTTCTACAATCAGGCTTCAACCTCACCATCTGCATCGCCAATTTCCTGTCTCCAAAATGTTCGTATGCATGGTTTTTAAGATCACAACTTTTGCTTGGGAAGTGACGTACGCCTCTTTCAGGCCTCGTTTTGTGCATATGAAATGTTTATAAATGAGACCCCAGGTGATTTAAACTGGGAAATTTAAACTTCATGTTACAAATCAGTGTCATTCTGATGCTTTTTGGCTCGGATGAGCTGCTAGCCTAGCACCTAATAATGTGTGCTCACCTTTTTTCTCTGATAACTAATGATCTAGACATTCAGGATTTTTTTTGCCAGGAGCCAAATTGTCTGCAGAGGTCTCCTCCTCGTTGCAATATATGGACCCAGTGATTTAAACCGATAAAAATAATAAATTAAGCAGTTTCATATCAAAAATCTTTTTTTTCCAAAGCTGTTTGGGCTTGTGTGGAGGGGCTGCTATTACAGTGGCCGGCACAAAACACGAATGGTCCTATCTCGAGTTAGTGTTTGGTTTGTCCATTCTAGGCTACTGTAGAAACAGGTTGGTGCAACATGGTGGACTCTATAGATGAGTACCCGCTCCCTTTGTAGATGTACGGCTTATTCTGAGGTAACATAAACAAAGCAATCCCTATTTCAGGTGATTATACACTAGAGAAAAAATACTTCTTATATTCCATTTCTGCCAATATATCCCCCTAAATCCTACACACTGGACCTATACATGATGTAATGTGCTCCTGATACTTGCCCTGGCGCTCTGCCTGTTTGCTTTCCTCTGGTCATCGGGGAGCGGGGGCATGGGATACGGGTATCTCCTGCTGGATGCAATAGATCCAGTAGAGGAAGTGGGAGACTTGGCAGGGGATAGTGTCCTGAGGAAAAGAGGAAGTGACATTATTAAAATATTGCCTCTTACGTTGGTTTAGGATTAAGTTGGCCAAAGACACAGATGGATAACTGAGGTGAGATTCAGGAGCTAATGTTAGATCTGTGACTTTGGGCAACATTCATCTTGAGCTGCTCTAATGATTCACCCTCCTACAGAGAGAGGTTGATCTTAAAAGCTCTTGTTGCCGTTCACCAAAAGCACAGCGACAGGCAGGTCATGTAATCTCTTAAAAAACATACATAAGCTTTTAGGGGCAACCTCTGCACACAGCAGTACACGGGTCCCAGCTGCGGTGTGGGCATAGTCATAGTTTCCTGCAACTCACTCTGCCACAGCATTACTTTCGCTTCATCATCGGACACACAAACCGTCTGCAGGAAGTCACCTTTAGCCACTGTTAAGAAACACATGCTGCTAAAGGTAACTTCTGCGGAGCCAGTGTGTAGTCCTGAATGGTTAGATCAGTGTGTGTGTTTAAATGAGGAATGCTGGGGGCAGTGAGTGTGGTGAGGTGACTGGGACGGCAGACCAGACCGGAGCTGGGTGAGAACAGACTGAGAAAGTCAGAGGAAGAACTCCTGTCCAGTGAAACAGCCACAGAGAGCCTGCCCCATGTACAGTACAGTAGCTTGTTTACATCAGCGCTGATTGGTGGTCAGAAATACCTGGACTGGTCAAAGTAGTGGAGGGAGTGGGTGGGCCGCTGGCTCCAGATGTACTTTTCTAATGAAATCCCATATTTGATCATTATTTCTAAAACTGCAGCCATTGCAAGCATGCTGACTTTAGCATCTAGCTCAAAGCACCGCTGTGTCAAAGTATAGTTTCATATTGCCACTGGTGAGGCTGCAGACTGTTGGTCTTGTTATTAGATTAGCATGTCTCTATTAGTAAACTCAAGTAATTTTTTATACCTGACTTGATCAATCACAAACAATCCTTAATTTGCTACACATCAGCAGTGGAAGAAGTACTCCCATATTTTACTTCAGTAAAAGTAGTAACAACACGACAGTGTAGAAATAAGAAAGTAATTCATTCAAAATCTTATTTAAGTAAAAATATGAAAGTATTAGCATCAAATTATACTTAATGTACCAGAAGCATAAGTTCTTATTGTGCAGAATGGCCCATTTCAGACTAATATGTTTATATTATTTAATTATAATTATTTAAATGACTTTATATAGTGCGGGGTAGTTTAATCCATAGCAATATCTCATCATCTATTGATGGGTTTATATTTTATATTAATAATCTCAATCAGTAAAGTAACTAGCAACTACGTTTAATAGATGTAGAGGAGTAAAAAGTACAATATTTTTCTTTGAGACATACAGTAGAGGAGTAGAGGTACAAAGCTGAAAAAAATGGAAATACTCAAGTAAAGCACAAGCTCCTTAGACTTGTATTAAAGTATAGTACTTGAGTTGAGTCAGTGTACTTAGTTACATTCCACCCCTGTTATACATAGGAAAATACAATCTTTACAACAAACAGCTTTCCCTCTTTCTAGTTCCTTTTTTTTTCAAATAAGAAAACTCTGCGAAAATAAACCTTTAATGGAAGGTTTTTACGTGTGTTGCACGTTATATTGGACTCAGAATTAGAGTTGCTTTATTCCCTAAATGTACAATGAACAGGAATCTGACCTGGTGAATCAGTGCAGTGAACCAAGAAAGTTAAAAGGTTAAAGGTTAGGTTAAAATCTTAAATGTATACTAACCAGGATCATCGGTTACTGCTTGTAAACATGCACACCAGAGAAAGTAAAAGCCAGCACCAGATGAGCTCTCGTCTGGCAGTTCCCCAGCTCTATGTCCTTTTTTAAGCACTCTGTTTCTTGGATGTGTCCTGCTTATGGTCTGGCACCTGGTCGCTACCTTTGTATAAATCCCCAACCTTGCATGAGCGCTGTAGGGCTACACACCCATAAACATCCAGAGCACAGACAGTAAAAAGAAAATAAGAAAATACAGGCAGAGGGCAGAGTCTCTGAAGAAAAACACACCGCTACACACTTCTAGTGGGTCATAAGTGATAATTGAGAAGGATTATTTCAGTATGAGTCTATACACTGCTTTTTAAGAAAATTCTGCAAAGTATATCTATATATATAAAGTTAAAAGTATAATAATAAAATGCTGTTACTGTTGTAACTATCAACATAAAAACAGCAACAAAAAAGTCTGAACTGATCATACCGCTGTATTCTACAAGGCTCAATCCCTACTGCAACTGCTGCCATTAGCAGCAGGATTTTAAGCTTGCTGATTGGCTGTTTACTTAATGCAGTATTCTTGTGAAGAGATTTGTGCCCAGTCTTGTGCTCTACCTGTGACTTTTTTAGATTAACTCTTTGAAACCTGAGCAGATTGGCTTGATTTATTTTAGAAACATGGAAAGAAGGCAATGAGCAATAACAAAAGAAATGGCCCCCACCCCCCAAAATACTGAGAAATTAGTTAAAAGAGAAAATTAGGAGAGAAAAAAATGAAAAGAAAGTTAAAAACACACAAACATGGAAATGACCTGGAGAGAGTGCTTAAAAATTATAATAATTCTGTAACATAATTTTAAAATGTAATAATACAATAATAATCATAAATATATTTTTTCTAGCTTTTTACTTTTTTCCTTTTTTTTTAAAATAATTTTCTAATTTTTTTTTTTTTTTTTAATTTTTAAAATAATTTCCTAAATTTTTAATTTATTTTTTGCAATTTTTATGACATTTCTTACCAAGCTGCTTATTTCTCCCATGTTTTTGAAAGAAATCACACCAATTTGCTCGGGTTCAAAGGTTTAAATACCTGCAAAAGGCCTCTGAAAGCAGCACAAGAAAAGTTACATCACTCCAGGTTTTAAAGAGTTAATATATATATATTTTTTCTAAGCAGATGATTTCATCAGAAGGTCTCTGTGCTGATTTACTTGATGGTAATTGGTCAGTTATGTCACTAAAAAAAAAAAAATTAGTCTTTAGTTTTACTTCTGGAACCAGAGCTCCCTGATGTAACCCTCCACATGTCTCCACTCCTTTGTCCTCCAGCAGATGTACTAACAGGGAGAAGGGCAGGACTGTGCTCCTGGACACAATGAAGGTCTATAGATTACAGTGCTCGTTGACTATTTGGTGGCGTTTATCTCATAGAAGGGAAGAAACTGTCGATGACATGGGGCCGGCGCTCTACAGAGCCAGGGCGCCCATGAGCTTCCTTGTCAGGGAAACCTTGTGGCTTGTGATTATCTATAGACCCTGGACACTTGGATCAGAGTGGTGGCCTACAGTTCATCACAGCAGCACAGTGATGATGTCAGCGCAGCGCCCGAAATGTTTGGCTCTGCACTGACATCACACTGATGCGAAGGCACGTGAGGTCACTGGGTGAGAGGCAGCGCGGACACACAGACACTGACAGAACAACACGCAACATGCAGAGGGAACAAGAGACTGAGGGGGAGAAGCAAAGAAGGGAATAAGGAGAAATTAGGAATAACATGACTGTGTTAGAACTGTCACACTAGCACAGGCAGTAAGAGCCATTATTCTTTTTGCAGAATGAAAATAAAAAATCTGCAAAGTAAAGAGCAGCTGATCAAAAAGAAACAAATGTCTTCACTCAAACTAAAAGGAAGGATGACATAAAATAGGATATATTATAATGTAAAGCAGAAAAACTTTTTTTTAATACTCAGCAGCAACCCCTTTGAGAAACTACACAACATGCCAGCTATAGATAACACTCTCTGAGATATTACTTTTAAACGTCCAGATTGGAGCTAGTTGCTACTTCCCTTGACCAAGCCACAAATCAAACCAAAAGTGAGGGGGATTTTAGACAAGCGTGTGGGGTACAGGACATGGTCTGAGGTAATACCTAAGGTAAGGTCCTTGAGTGTTTCTATTCACATCTTCTACCCATTTAGTTACATCATAAAACTCTGTTTTGAAGCGAGGGGTTAAATACCTGTGGGAGGGGGAGGAGGGGGTGATGGACACAACACAAGGAGGGGGAGAAGAGAGAAAAAGGAAGGAGGGAAAAGAAATTGAAAAAGGACAGAAAAATTCCCAGAAATAAGCGAGTGTTGGGGGGGGGGAGAGAGAGGAAGAGGAAATATTTTTAGGAAAGCAGAGCAGAGCAAAGATATCCTGAACAAACACCAAGATGCAATTGAGAAAATGGTGAGAAGATGGCAGACAGACCTGTGTGTGGTTTCAGATGAAAACGGCACCATGGAAATCACAAACAACTGTGTCGTGTGTTACAGGCTCAGTTGCATATTGGTTACATGTCACGTCATTCCAAGCAGTTAGCAGTCAGTCTCATGCTTGCTATGAGAACAGGTGCACTGCAGACAGTTTAAATGCCAAGACCTTCAAACCCACAGACAAACAGACCAACACGCCAGGCTGGGACGCAGCCGATGCACACTGTTCATTCACAGTCAACGAGCATATATGCAAACACTTTATTCACAGGTAAGAGGTGAGTTAAGTTTAAAGGACTCAGAGGTTTAATGCAGCCTCACAAGCCAGACAAGAGCAGCAAGTTCACACTGAGATAACTTGACTGCATGGTCTGTGACTTGACTGGCTTGTGAGGCTCTTTGTACCTCTTTTATCTCTGATGCAAAATTTGAGGAGAGCTTTCTTTCCAGAGTTGTGTGAATTGTTTTAATAGCTACACTAAACCTTTAACAGGACAGTAATATTCTTTATTTTCTCATCATCAACAAATCTAATGAAAAGACCAAAACCAAATATAAATTGATCCCACTAGAATAAACTGTTTGTGTGTCCTGATATCCCTTGTTTTTTTGTACTATTGACCTTCATTGGTGTTCAGATACTTTTAAAGGGACAGTCCACCCCAAAATTAAAAATACATATTTTCCCTCTTACATGTAGTGCCATTTATCAGTCTAGGATGTTTTGGTGTGAGTTGCAGATATCGGCCCTGGCGATGTCTGCTTTCTCTCAAATATAATGGAACTAGATGGCACTCGGTTTGTGGTCCTCAAAGCGCCAAAAAAATAAATGTGAAAAACTCAACAGCAATGTCTCTTTCCAGAAATCATGACTCGGTAACTCAAGATAATCCACAGACCTTGTTGAGAGAAGTTTTATGTAGGAACTATTTTCTTTCTACCAATCTACACCTGCGAACCGTATCACAGCGCAGAAGGAAGCGTGCATCTACTGCTAGCTCACCTAGCACTGAGCGAGCTAACGTTACAGCTCAGCCAAGGAGGACGCCATCACTATTTATATCTTGCGCTATAGAAAGCACGAGCCTCTAATACATGAGTAGATGCACGCTTCCTTCTGCGCTGTGATACTGTTGGCAAGGTTACTTCAGTTTAAATAAAATAGCTCCTCCATGCTCACAACAAGGTCTGTGGATGATCTTGATTAACCAGGTCATGATTTCTGGAAAGAGACATTGCTGTTGAGTTTTTCAAGTGTATTTTTTTGGCGCTTTGAGCACCACAAGCCGAGTGTCATCTAGTTCCATTATATTGGAGATAAGGCAGACATCTCTACGGCTGATATCTCTAACACTCAGCAACTCAAGCCAAAACAATCTAGACTGATAAACAGCACTACAGGTAAGAGGAAAAACATGTATTTTTGATTTTGGGGTGAACTGTCCTTTTTAAAAATGCATAAATGTGCCACATTGCTGCACTGGGTAAACACAGGCACTGTAATAGGGTTGCCATGATACCAAAATTCAATGCAATACTAACATAAAAAAAAACAAAACTAAATACTGTCAATACAAATCTGTACAAATCGATGCAAAAAAACAAGTTTTTTAAATTTTTATTAACAACACGCACACAGTGCTGGTGCAGAGAAGGTCACTGAACACACACCTCCGGTCATGTGGTGGGTTCATTGATGGAGAGAATGCCATAAAATCTGATTTTTTTTATAGCTTTAGTGCTATCCACACAATTGAATGCATAATCTATGGAGATCATATCATTTTAAACACGTGGTATCATAAAAAGCATCTAAGTATCAATAATTTTGTCAACCCTTACACTGTAGTTTATTCCTGTCAATGCTGTGAATGCTCTTGAGTGCACCCAACGTGTGTTAATCCATGGGTGAAAATAGTTGCCAACAAATACACTGTTTGCCCTGTTTGAGGAACACTTGCCAAAAACTACAGTGCCCAGCTGTTTTATGAGACACTTTGCCTTTGTTTATTATTGATGATTAGGAGGTAGGAGGTTTGTTTTGGTCTTTTCATGGCATTTGTCGACATAAAAGGTACAAAATAAAGCATAACTCCTCCCTTCCTTCCCTCCTCCAGTCTATGTCCACTAGAGCATCTTCTTATCTGCACATCCCATGTACACTGTTCATTAACCTCACAACATGACCAAGTAGCCAGAAGAGAACTTACTCTGTGGAGTTGGAGCGAGCGCGGAACTTCTTTCCTTTCAGTTTCTTACGATTACCGCTCAGATTTCCTGGAGAGAAACAGAACATGAAAACACACTTTAAATACAAGCGTATACTGTGACATGGAGAATATTTACTGGTGGTGCTGTTTTGAGTTGAACTGTGATGAGTTTGTTTCCCCAAATTCAAGAAAAAGGCAACACTCCAGTGGTTAAAAAAAGTTGTAGATAAATTCATGATAACGATCAAGACTTTCTCCTGCATTTATCTGTGAGACACTGGTAAATTCAGTGCCGCAGCAGCGCCACTGTTTCCTCTTCCTGTGTGTATGGGTGCGGGTTTGTGCATCACCTTGCCACGAGTTGCTCCTCGGTCGCCCGTTTTCACAGATGTCAGAGATGTGTTTGGCATCTGGGATTCTCTCGCTCCATGAGTGGGATAGGCCATTAGATCTACACACACACACACACACACACACAGCATGGACAGATAATCATCAGCACAACATCGTTCTCCCCAAGCTGCAACAAATCACTACACGCTGTTCTGCTCCTGTTGCGTTAGTGGAGACGAGGGAAAGGCGGAATATGAAGACACCATCGCAGCAGATGGCAACATTATGAGCTGTGAAACAATATCATGGCAGATGAATGTGACATGATTAGGGATGGGCACTTTAATAAATTTACATATTACAGTGCTCTAATAAATGGAGTCCAAAATGGAGAGATAGAGATTAGCCAACATTACACATTCATTTTGTTTATTGTTGCAATACTTATAAACATCACTTTTACGCCCGGTCAATCAGGGCCGTAATGACCTATTTTTTTATCACTGGTGGAGACCATTTTCAATCTGCACCTTTTCCAAACCAGCGCTTCAGGGGCGTGTGAGGGAAATTCCCCCCAGGAGAAATTTTTATAAATTAAACAGCTAAACTGACCATTTTAGAGCATTTTGAAACAAGTCTTTTATTAAATACTATACTATGACTTTTTTAATGAGTCTTTTATTTTAATGACTTTTTATGACATACCATACTACGACTTTTTTTTAATGTAATTAATTTTTAACGACTTTTTTAATGACATACTATACTATGACTTTTTTTAAAATTTTTATTCACTATTTTTATGACTTATTTTACAATGACTTTTTTATTTTTAGTGACTCTTTATTGACATACTATACTGTGACTTTTTAATGACATTTTTATTTTAAATGATTTTTTATGACCTTCTATAGTATGACTTTTTTATTACGATTTTTATGACATGCTATAAAATGACTTTCATTTTAATGACTTTTAATAACATATAATACTATGACTTTTTTAATTTTTAATCACTATTTTTATGACATACTATACTATAACTTTTATTTTAGTGACTTTTTATGACATACTATACTATGAATTTTTTAATGACTTTTATTTTTAATGTTTTTAATGATGTAATATATTATGACCTTTTAATGACATTTTATTTTTAATGACATTCAATATATTCAATAGTATGACTTTTTTATCACTATTTTTATAACATAGTATAATATAACTTTTGTTTCAGTGACTTTTTTATGACATACTATAATATGACTTTTTTTTTTTCATTTTTAATCACTATTTTTATGACATACTTTACAATGACTTTTTAATGAATTTTATTATGAATGATTTTTATGACCTAATATATTATGACCTTTTAATGACATTTTTATTTTACGTGATTTTTTATGACATTCTATACTGTGACTTTTTAATGGCATTTTTATTTTTAATGATTTTTTTAATGACATATACATACATACATATAATATGACTTTTTTATTACTATTTTTATGACTTACTATATTACATTCTAGTTCTCCACTTTTTAATACATTACACAGTAATGAAAAAGTGATTAAAGAGAGACAGTACAGTGTCTGACACTGATTGTACACACCCAGAGCAGTCAAGCGATGGCTCCTGCTGGGGTACGGCAATGCCACTTGGACAAACCACACACAGAACTGCGGCACAGAGTCATACTATAACCAGAAGAAAAAATAATATTTGCAAGGTGTTTAGATTATTTATGATTATGATTACATTTGCTAAAGATTATTTTGTATGGTGGTGCCTGGTTGCTTTTTGTAGCTGAGTTTTCATCAGTATATTGGGGAGGATGTTTTGCTCTATAGATCTGTGCAGATATTTACAGATATAGGTTACATCACTGCGTACCATCCGTTTAAAAGTGACAAATAGTGATGTCTGAATGGAGTACTTGAGAACTCATGCCCATCTCTATGATATGAGAAATGCAGTGATGAGATATTTTCTTCTCAGCTCCCATCGGCAAAATGTTCATAGTTCTGAAAACATTTTGGTTAAAGGCCGTAAAGTTTGCAGGAAGAGAAACACAATGAAAGCCATGATACTAACAAAGAATGACATGAACACAGCAGTGATTTAGAGAACACAACACACACACACACACACACACACACACACACACACACATTTGCCAGCGAATGAATGAGTGATGATGAGATGGCACACCTGAAGCCAAACAGTGAGATGTTCTGAGAAATGGATGGGATGGAAGGAGTGAAGGACAGGGTGCAAATCTGCAGGTGTGACAGGCAGGCTGACCTCTTCTTGGAGCTGCAGCCCGAGTTTGTGCTGACACCTGGAGGCATGTCACTGTAAAATGAGTCTGCATCCCCAGGCTTTGTTACATAGTCACCCGGGGGCATTTGCCTAGAAATACAGAACAATTATTACACATACAAAATCACAGGAATAAGGGCTGTTTACATAATTTATACTTTCACTTTGATACTTTAAGTACATGTTGACAATAATATTTATGTACTTTTACTTAAGTACAACTGAAACAAAGTAAATTAACACTGTGGTTTTTATACTTTTACTTAAATAAAGGATTTGAGTATTTCGTCCACCACTGGTCTTTTTGCAGGAAAAACAAGGATAAATTCTTCCTGCAGCTGATTTGTAAAGTAGTTTTTGCACTGGATTTAGGATAATCTAAGAGGAACAGGTCTGTTGCAATCATAAACTTTATATATATTTACATTATTAACCATCAGACTGTGTTTAATGCAAAAGTTAAAACCACTGCAGCAAATAAATATGACATTACTGAGGGTTTTTCACATGTTAAAACCATCAAAAAACATAAATGTCATGTAACACAGTGCAGAACATTAAAAATAAAGTTAAAGTGAGCAAACCGGCAGAATCTTCGATGAACTTCAGACTCAACATAGCGTCTCTGCTTGTAGCTCCTGTGAAGAGAAGAATCCTCAGTCCCACAATAATATAACTTTCATTAAATGTATTTCATAATATGGAGCAGTGATTCCCAGCCCTGTGGACTTGTGACCCCACCAGGGCTCCCCCATATTTTTAACAATGAATTTTCATATTTTTCCTAATTTCTATGAATCTATATAAGTACTTTAAAATAGGTAGGCCTATATAGTGATCACAGGGCGCCAAAATTAAGCTCTTACTCCAGTGTGTTATGCCTTAAGACAGCAACAATGTAACATGGAATATAGAATTAAATGCCTTTGTGTCTACACATACAGCAGACACAAAGCAGTAACGTTATCTGGCCCAGAGGCAGCAGGTGTGACATTACGTGCCGATGCTGGCAGTCCGTTTATTGGCCTCTTGGTTGTCTTGATGCTTTTTCCCTTTAGCATGGCTGACCAAAACCACTTCCCCCATGTTGCCAATAACGTTAAACATTTTGGTGCAGAGCCTACATCCAGTGCAGTTAGGGTCTGCCTCTCTCTTGAGTCATGTGTTGTAATTGTCATAAACATGCACTTCACAGGCATTTGCAGATAAGCAAAGTGCTAGCGCTTGCTAACTTTACTTGTTTGTTGGACATTCCTGCTGCCAACTAGCTGGAGAAGTCAGTCATGTGATACGTGACACTAGTGACGTTTCAATGGTTATGCAGCACAGACCTACATATTAAATTAGTAACAAAAGAAAATAAAATGGATTAAAGATACGATACTACATGGTACGATATGATGCAATACAATACGAAACAATATTATCGTCATGATGAGACATGATACGACACGATACAATACGATATGATGTGATACGGTGGGATTCAATACGACATGATAAGATACAATATGATTGATACAATACAATACGATACAATATGATTGGAATGATGCATAATGATATGATACGACACCACATGACACGATATGATACCATACCGTACAATGCGATATGGTGCGATACGATGCAATACAATACGATACAATATTATAGGTACGATGCAACAAGATATGACAATACAATACGACATGATACAATACAATAAGATCGGTACGATACAACACAATATGATGCGATACGATATTATTGGAATGATGCATCATGATATGATACGACACCACTTGATAAGATAAAATATGATACGATACGGTGCGATACGATCGATACAGTACGATATACTTTATTGTCCCCGTAGGGAAATTTGTCTCGGACTCGAGCTGCACAAGTATTGCTGCCTTACAATAATTTCACTTAACGTTTTTATTTTTATGAACATAGTTTAAACAATAGCCAAAACAATGTATATTCAAAAGTTTTCCCAAACATTCTATTAAGTCCAAACCATTTCCATTTTTTTTTAAATTTCATAACATTTTCATAAATTTATTGAGCGTGGGAAAGCGGCCTCTCAAAATGAAGCACTGCTACAGTACTTGTGACCCCGTCCTTGTTTTCTTGCTTTGTTTGAATGATTTTTAGAAGCCCTTAAGGTCTTAGATTATTACGTAATACACAAAAAAAGATGAGGAAAGGCTGAAAAACTGAACAAACTTGCGTGTGGCAGAAATATCCTTGTTTTTATTTCCTATCCTGTAAGAATTTCTCCCAGCAACCCCTAGTTGGGGACCCGACCTCCAGATTGGGAACCACTGGTATAAAACATCACACATGCGGGCTGCAGGGACACTCACTTGTAACACCAGGCTGTAACAGCCAGTATGAGGGCGAGGAAGAGGATGGAGCCTGTGATGGCCCCGATGATGATGTTGGTACTGGTGATACCTGAGAGAGAGGGAGAGAGGAGAGTGGGGAGCCCAATGTGTGTTAATTGAATGTGTCTCTTGTTTCCTGGATCATGTGGACACAGGGGGATACACAAACCACAGAACACTGCAGCAGAACACAAAAACACAGTACACTTAGCAGGAGGAGTGTAAAAGGAGAACACGGGGGACAAAACTGAGAACAACAAACTGCTGTCACCCCTCAGCACTACTCTGATGGGAACGTACATGTGCAGTCAGTTCCCATTTAGGACAACATTACAAACTGTTTCTTAACTCAGTAATGGTCAGAATGAACCAACCGAGGTGAAGCTGGAGGTGGGTTGAGAGAGGAAGAGGAGGACCAGGAAATGACAGAGACGGGACAAACACAATGAAAAGGAACTCAAATCTGACCTCAAGTCACTCCGTCAAAGACATCAGCCTGTCGACAAAGAATGAGTGTGAAAATAATGACAAACAAAAAGAATGACATGCATGGTTCAGTGAATACAAATGCAGCTGGTTTTAATGAGCAGACATGAAACCAACACAGATTTTAAAAAATAAAAAAGCAAAGAAAAGCTTCAACATAATTTTTGTGTATGGGATCTGTGAAGGGGGGGGGGGTTAAAAAGAAAGAGATGAAGTGGGGTGGAAAGAGTTGAGATGTACGTAAAGCAGAGAAGTATGCACAGAGAAAAGGTTCAGACAGTGTGAGATGAAGAGAGGTTATGGATCGAGGCAGCAAACAGCGAGAGCGTTAACACCTCTCACCTGAAACTGAGGCAGTGGGTCCGACCACGAGATAACTGAGAGGATTTGTGGAGTTACAGTCCTCTCCTGCCCAGCCCAGGTAACACACACACTTCAGCTCACTACTGCACACCTACAGCACAAATATAGAATTACAAAATTATTTTAGCACTGACGCGTCACTGTTTTTTTTGGTTTTGTTTTTAATCACAAACTGAAACACTGAACCTCTGCCGTACATGTTGTTCTAAATAGCAAAGATTAGTCCAGTATCAATTTTGGTAAGTCTGGGATTCTGATATTTTATGCTGACACTCAAAAATAATCAAATCAAATAATTAACTATATTATTTATTAACTGTTTTTAAATGTCCCTTTATATTGAATTACCTAATCTGTTTTATGTTCATTCTGTCTATCTTTATATGAAGTACTCAGTGCTTATAGTGCCCTTATTGTAAAGCACTTTGTGCTGCATTTCTTGTATGAAATTTGCAATATAAATAAAGTTTATCATTATTATTATTTTTTATTTATTGTCATTTCAATTCAGTCACATATGAAACTGACCATTTCTGAGTGTTGTGTTTGATTTCAGTTACATAATTTCAATTCTCTCTGAATAATTTAGCCTAACAAATAATTTCCAGTGTCTAAAAGACACTAGAATCATATTTTGTTTTTTTAAATAAGGAATTTACAATCAGAATATGAATAAATACAGATGCAAATAATGAGTACACACACAGTATAAATAAATAATTCAGGTTGTTATCTATGTGCAGATGTGTGTTAAACAGGGAGACAAAACTGCTGCTCTGTGACTACTGTGTGTCTTTGTTGCATTTGAAGACACAAACTCCATAAAAAGTCTCTGAAGCTGTTAAAGTCAACCATCAGCTGATCCAGCTGTGATCCGCCGCCGCTGACATCAGAAACAGACGTAACTTCATGTGACGCTTCAGAGGAACGTCCCATTTTTCTAAAAACACATTTCCTACTTTCCTCTCTCCTCACAAGGTTTCCTTGTGTCTCTCCCTGCATCCCCAATGGGAGGGGCTGAGACACAAGGAAAAGACGCAAGTGAGGTTAAGATGGATGCAAAATTGGTTAATGGGATAACCTATTATATATTCATCAAGAGACCTAGCTGGAGGTTTTAGGGAGTAATGCTGATGTTTTGAACTGTATAGCCTATAAAGCAACAATATTTTTCAACTTTATAGTCAGACAGTTTCATTGCATATCTCTAAGACAGGTTTGTTTGTCAAAAAACCAAATAAAAGAACCTCATAAACCATTTGGAGCTTCCTAATGCTAATACTTTTAATAATAAAGTACAAAAGCACACATGACTTGCATTCACACGAAGAGACTCTGGGGCTGAATGGCTTGAATAATCATACACTTGTATCTGGATGTGTGTGTGTTCACTGTGTGTGTGTGTGTGTGTGTGTGTGTACCCCATGTCCAGAGCAGACACTCTTGTCAGTGGTCCCGGGGCAGGTGCTGAAGTTGAACTGTTGGACGGGGAGACATTTGTGATTGAAACAGATGCGGTCTGTCCCGCAGGCCGTCCCATCCTCGACGTATCCCAGGTCAGTGTCTCCGTCAATCAGCACATGAGCGCCGCTGAACAACAAATATACTTGAGTCACTCAAACAGCACATAATGTTACGTCCAGGATCTTCTCCTCACCTTATGGGTAGGAGAAAATCATGTTTTGGCTTAAAATACGTGATTTTGTTGGCAAAGTTCAGACAGGAAAAGCCAGGGAACAAAACTAGGCCAGAGATAAAAGACACATCACCAACAGTCTTTTTTGGGCTGTTGGTTTGGGCTTTGAGTATTTTAGGAAGTGTTTTTTTTTCCTCAATGATGTGTACCTGCAGTCAAGAGAAGCACTGTGTCGGGCCACTGAGAAGGAGGTCAGCCCTCCCTGCAGCTCTCCCAGTCGCGGGGCAGGTGAGATGTTGGAGCACAGCAGGTATCCACAGTGAACATCCCTGAAATGCAAAGATGAAACCAAACATCATGAGGAGTAAAAAATAAGACAGTAACAGAACTGCACAGGGTTCAGTGTCAGAAAGGACTCGCTCACTGTTTGTTACACTGGATCCAGGTGTCCTTGTCCTTCCCACAGTTGCCTTTCTCTGTCCCTTCGATGTTTAACTTCTCGTAACAGAACTTGTCGGCCGCTGTTGCCTCTGATTAAGACACAACACGTTGAACATTAGGATCTGCAGCTTATCTCTAGCAAAGGTTTTGTTTACAGGTGCATGTAGTCTTCTGCAGATTTGTCAATACAAACGTGATTTGCACACTTACTCTCTCCCCAAATGTACTTGCACTGTCTGTCTTTGGTTTTGCATCTTCCATTAAAGCAGCGACCCTGTAGAGAGACATACAGAGTCAAAAAACGTCACCCGGCAGCAGTTAAGTCTTTCAGGAAAAGTAAAATACCTCAGTATCTCACCTGGTCCTTTTCACATGTGTAGCCGTCCATCTTGTGCACATTTGGTGGACACTGCAAAAAAAAACAAAAAGAAAACCTCAGAGATACAGTGATGCTCTTTATGAATTGTGCACATCCTGTGATGCTCTTTTTAAGTTTATAGTTTTGGTTGCAGAAAACTGATGGAAGCTGAGGCTCACCTGGCTGGAGTTGCCTGTGCAGTTTTCTGGGATGTCGCAGTCGTTCACTGCATCTCTGCACACAACTCCCATGAACTCCATCTGTAGCAGCATACGATAAAGATCACATGGAGTGGTTGTAATTAGGCTGAGCGTCAGAGGAACAGGGGCTTAATCGGGAATTATCAAACCTCTGCACAGTCTGTGTCTCCAGGCACCCTCTCTCTACCATTAGTCCAACTATGACAAGGCTGTACCCATCAACACCTTAACAATATTCATTTATTCATTAATTTTGGGAGGTTTAAAAGGCCGTCATGACCTCTCATTAGTAGCCTGGTGAACAGAAAGATCATAGAGGACAACTAAAAAGTTTAGTATGTTCAAGAAAAAGAAGCTGAAACGTATTGTCACTTGTTCTAGTTGGTCTCAGATTTTACAGCAGCATCTCTACTGTAACTGTGAGCAAGGCTTCAGAACCAGAGACATATACAATTAAAGTAAATCCAAGTGGAATTGGATTTTAAAGACCAAAACATACATCATCTTTACAGTAGGCACTCCTTCAGCTTCATGCCATGAGTGGTTACAGTGAACAAAAACATAATTGCAACACTTTTGTTTTTGCTCCAGTTCTTTACAAGTTGAGATAAAATAACTTAAACTTTTTCTGTGCACACAAAAGACCTATTGCCCTCATATTTGGTAAAAAAAAAAAAAAAAAAAAAAAAGTTAAAATCCATGTTAATGAGTACTTTGCCAAGATAATCCATCCACCTTGCCATTGTGGCATGTGATGCTGCATCATTATACACAGGTGTGCCTTGGGACGGTCACAATAAAAGGCCACTCTGAAACATGCTGTTTTGTCACGACACATAGATTCCGCTAGCTGACTACAGGAATGTCCAACAGAGAAGAACTGAATATTCATTTTAATACCATAAGCCGTCTCTAATGCTGTTTCCAGAGAACTTGGCAGTACATCCAACCAACCTTACGACCAACAACCACAGACCACGTGCAACCACACCAGCCCAGGACCTCCACATCCAATGTCTTCACCTGTGAGATCGTCTGAATCCAGCCACCTGAACAGCTGATGCAATAATTGGTTTGCACAACTGAGGAATTTCGCACAAACTGTCAGAAACCGTCTCAGGGAAGCTCATCTGTATGCTCGTCGTCCTCACCAGGGTCTTGACCTGACAGCAGTCCATCGTCCTAACTCCATCGTCCGTGCTAATCTTTGATGGTTTCTAGTACTGAAGAGAAGCGCTGTCTTAACAAATGTATATGTGTAGCCCTAGTCATGATCAATGGTGAGTGCCTCAGACCTTCGTGACATCCACACAGGCCATCTTCTCACACAGGCCACAAACATAAGGACCCCTCGCACCCCGAACACCCCCTCTTCATCACCCTTCCTTTGGGCAGACTGAAAACCCCATCACACACACAAACATGCTATGTAACAGCTTTTTCCCCAGAGCTGTGAACAGACTTCAGAGACTATAGTGTACTACGATCACATTCACACACTAAATGTGTGTGTATGTGATCATGAGAATGATGTGATGAGCGAGTGTGGTGCATGTGTAAACATTTATATGCTGCTCACTGGATTGGTCCAGCAAAGTTTTGTTGTATAACATACAATGACAGTAAAGGATCTATCCATCTATAAAGGAAAAATTATCTTGGCAAAGGTGAAGTACTCATGTTCACATATTTTAACAAATTTGTACACAAAATGTGAGACAAACAGGCTTTTGTGTGCAAAAAAAAAGTCTTTGATCTGTTGTTTCAACTCACGAAAAATGGGAGCAAAAATAAACGTGTTTCATATATGTTTTTGCTCAGTGCGGTACCGTTTTACCCAGAACAACAACACCCACGCAGAAGATCAAAGGAGTGTCCCGTTGTGTACCTGGCAGCTCTTGCAGCAGAGTCCGTTGCTACACTTGGAGCCTTGGGTCAGGGTGCACTTGTTACAGCAGGCCTCCCCCTCTTTGGCACACTCCTAAAGGACAGACGGACAAAAACAGAAACTGCTCTCAGTTGTCATCCTTCAAATTGATGCAAGTTGTTTCATGTATTACATCATCCAATCATGCTGTATAATCTGTTTAAACCGAGGTCTCTCTCAGGACAGACTGTGATCATGCATTGTGCAGCACTTTGTTTTCTCCAATGGCGTTACTTCATTAGTTTAAATTACCTCTTATTAGTCCGACACAGCGGGTGGTTTTGTTGTCAGGTAATTAGCCCACTACTTTGACCTTGGATGATTAACCCTTTATGAATGTACATCTCTGAATTAGCATCCATCTACAGTACTGAGTCTTACCGCCGGGCTGCCACAGTCACACTCCTCTCCTGGCTCCACAAACCCATTTCCACACACTGGAGGGTCCAACAGCTGAGGGGAGAAAAGGGCAGAATGAGTATTCAAACTACTGAGGAGACAAACATATATAGACCGATCAGCCACAACATTAAAACCACTGTCAGATGAAGTGAATAACATCGATCATTTCATCATAATGCAATGATCTGCTGGGAAACCTTGGGTTCTAGCAATGGCATTTCTTGATGGCAGTAGCCCCCTCAGAAGGACAATGCACCATGCCACAATGCAAAAACTGCTAAGGAATGGCTGGAGGAACATGATGCAGATCTCAAAGCAGCAACCTGGCCTTCAAATTCCCCAGATCCCAAGCCAATCAAGCATTTACAGGAGCCAGCCTGCCTGACAACCCACAGGACTCAAAGGATCTGCTGCCAGCACTCTGGTGCCAGAAACCACAGGACACCCCCAGAGGTCCTGTGTCCATGCCTCAACAGGTCAGAGCCAAGTCCAATCCAAGGACGCCACACCCTGGACTGGACTTGGCTCTGGGGTACTGGCACGTCCCACAGATGCTTGATCAAATTTGGATCTGGGGTATTTGGTGCCGCTTCTGCAGTGATGCAGGCGCTGCGCCAGTCTGTCATGTTGAAGAGGGAGCTAAGCCAGAAGGCGAAGCATTCAATTCACAGGTCCATCTACGTCCCAACCCTCACCTTTGGTCATGAGCTCTGGGTAGTGATCGAAAGAATGAGGTCGCAGATACAAGCGACTGCAATCAGTTTCCTCCGTGGGGTGGCTGGGCTCAGCCTTAGAGATAAGGGGAGGAGCTTGGACATCTGGAGGGAGCTCGGAGTAGAGCCCTTGCTCCTTAGCCCCCGAAAGGGGTCAGTTGAGATAGATCGGGCATCTGATTCAGATGCCTCCTGGGCACGTCCCACTGGTAGGAGGCCCCGGGCAGACCCAGAACACACTGGAAGGATTACATATTTCATCTGGTCTGGGAATGCCTTGGGGTCCCCCAGGAGGAGCTGGAAAGCGTTGCTGGGGAGAGGGACGTCTGGAATGCTTTGTTCGGCCTGCTGACCCAGGTTTGGATAAGCAGATGAAAATGGATGGATGGAATTTGGAGGCCAGGTTGATGCCTGGAGCTCTTTTTATGTTCCTCAGGCCATTCCTGAGCAGTTTTTGTAGAGTGGCATGGTGCATTGTCCTGCTGAGGTGGTGGGGAGTGACGTTGCCATGAGGGCGCGTAGATGGAGTGCGTCAAGTGGCATCCACATGATTTCCAGGACTGAGATGATCCATTCACTTCACCTGTCAGTGGTTTTAATGTTCTGGTGTATATGAGCATGCATATACTGTATGTGTCAGTGTGACATACCTTCAGAGGTTTGTTGAACAGACAGGCTCCTCCTCCGCTGTTCAGAAAGTTATGGTACTCCTCCATGTTGCAGTCAGAGAACCTCTTGGGCAGGTAGAAACTGTTCAACACAACCGCAGCATAGTATATAGTGTTACCGTGATTACAGTACAGACATAGCATACAGCACAGCATCCTCAGATAATACTGGGAGAGAAGAGGGGCTTGCTCCCCAGAAACACACATTACAGGACAAAACACTTAATTTTCTACCCAAACAAACTTTTCATACCTCACATTTAATTTCACTTGAACACACAATGCCATAGCAGGTTTGTCATATTTAATGAAGTTCGTATTTCTTATATCGTACCAAGAATATTTCAGGTTTTACCACAGGTTTACCATACTCACAGTTCGGAGGAGATCCTTACTACAACATGGAGGTAGACATACAGTAGAGCTAAGAGTGTGAGGATCATATGGAGAGACAGTATGTGTAGGATGTAAATGGATTCTAAGATGCGTCTATGAAATTGCCCTGGAAATGGATTTGAATAATTTGGATGATTCACTTTTGAGCAGTTATTGCATCATCATGAGATACTAAAATGATCACATCAAAGTTTCGTGAGATACTCAGAACAGGAAGCAAGCTCGTCAGCTCCGAAATACTTTGTGTGATTTAATTCACTTACAGTAAAAATATAAATATATGCATGTTGAGGACACAGTCACCTGAAGCCCAATCAACATCTAAAGTACATGAGTAAATCTATTACAATCAAATGTCCCGTGTTCATCCTGATGCTTTTAAGTACATCGACCCAAACCTGAGTAGCACTTAAATACTAACATCTTCTGCTGCACTTAATGCTGATTATGCTGCTGGCACATGTTTAACTAGAGTGCCTCTACTGCTCATCAGAACCAGCACAGGAGACAATGCAATAACAGACAGTCTGGGGCTGTGAGAGGTTGTCGTTATTTGATATGAAATGTGGCTTAACGAAGTCACCCACAGTGAGAATGGCTGTATAAGGAGCCAGTAATGACGCTTTGATGATGGATGAAGCACACTACAATATTTCAGGTAGACTTCCTGAACTAATCAGGTTTAAAGATGTTCCAGCTATCGCAGAGTTTTGCATCTTTGATTTCTAAATTTGCACCAGTGCTTAATCTTGTCAAAATCTTGTAGTGTTTATCACCTTTTCAACAGTGAAACGAAGATGAGACGTGCTTTAATGAGTCACCGGTCATTAGGAGGAGTACAGTTTTTACCATGTGGACTAACATTATTATTCAGACACGTACAGACTTTTCATTTCACAGCACATAAAACACAGATACTACTGTATTATTGGCCTGTAATGTCTATATTTCATGTATCCAGAAAAGGATTCACTAACATCCTCAGTCATTCACAGTCAGTGTATCCCCCTAGTGGCTGTTAGGAGGCATGGCGGTGTCTGAACCACAATCATTCACTTGTCTGTACAGTATGTCCTTGTTACAGTATATTTCAGAGTGAATAATGTCCTTTTTTAATAATTAAATACAAGGATATCTACTTTTTGTGACACCCTTTATAAGTCATATTTTACCCTGGTTTGTTCTTGGTAAAATCAATTCTTCCACGAGAAGATAACACAAAGGAAATATCAGTAACTTATAAGCTGCAAAAACAGATAGAAAACAATTCTGCAACAAGACAATAATGCATGTTCAAATAATATGTGCATATGTACAGAGGTGGAATGCATTCACTTGAGAAAAAAAAAATCTGCTCTGTTTTTCTGAATTAAAGGTTCACTGTATACGATTTAGGGGGATATATTGGCAGAGATTTAATATAATATTCCTAAATGTGTTTTCTTTAGTGTATAATCACTGGAAAATAAGAATCGTTGCCTTAGCATGAGCCACTTACATCTAAAGACAGAGCGGGTCCTCTTCCACGAGCTTCACTCCACATAGTCATACCTTATCATAATTTCACACATATGATGACAGACGGGGCCTGAAGACATCTACAGAGGAATGTTGAATAGCGCCATCTACTGGCAACAGGAAATGACAATTTTTATATTCTAATGTCCTTCTAGCTGGTTAATCAGACCTACCTCAATGGCCAAAATGGTAACTACACTCAAATTCAAAATACTGCGGCGAGTCGTGTCCGCCCCCCCTCCCCTACAGATTCTACGCTGCTGGACAGCAGCACACTGGAGACTGATTTTTTTGCCCACGGGCGGCTGCTGTGGTAGGGCCGCGTCGCCGCGTCCTTGATCTTCGGTTTTCCAGCGGACCATTCGAGCAAGTCCGGCTTCTCTGCTGCTAATGCTGCTGCCGGGATACAGCGGAGGAGGAGCCAGCTGCTAATGCTATGTACCGGGACACTGCTAATGCCGCTTGCCGTGCTGCTAACGTTTGTTTCTCAAAAAAATCAGTCGGGTCGATGACCCACCTGCACATGGGCTACAATGTATGATTGAAAATGAATAACAGTTTAAAGTATTCGAAATGTCCCTCCCCGTCTAGCTATGATGCTAGTCAGCCAACTTTGGCTCAAGCTTACCTGTTGAGGAGAAGAGTAGCCACTTCGACATCCAAATCCATTCAAATTCTTCTCCGCTTTCAACCGTCTCCACCGTTCAAAAGCATCTCGTATATAGACCCTCGCTTTGCCTCGAGTTTTTTTCTTGTCTTTGTCTGTCTCATTTTGTGCATTTTTGGCCATTTCCAGGGGTTGTACTTCAACGCACTCCTTCTACAGATTTGATCCGACTGAAATTTTGTCTATACCATCTTAAGACCTTGGACATTAAAAGCTGCTTAAAGCTTTAGTTTTTGTCGAACCGTGTGACCCTGGCAAGATGTCAAATGACAGCAACCCAGAGTTGCGCAGAGGTGTGAGGGCTTGTTCATCGCTGCTTGCGGCTTTAATTGATAATTCTTACATAATATAATAAACTTAGTTTAATGACAAAAGTATATTAAAGAAAATTGAGGTGGGGAGGGGAAAGAAGGTGGAAGGTGGACTGTTGCATTCAATGTTTCTGTAAGTTATTAAAGGTTAATAACCAGTAATATTTTCTAGTAATCTTACTGGAATCCTTCCAGCGGGCTGTGGGTCAATGATAAGCTAATATCAAGCTAACAAATGGATTTATAAAGTACCCATGGGTAAAACGCAAATTTTGGGTTGGTATATCATTTCTAATAAAATTATTTCCATCTCAATTGTTTTTTGGGATGCTGCAACGTAAGAAGAAAAAAATGCTAGATATATAAATTACCTTAATTGTTTGTTTTCCTCCTCAAATTTTATGAATTTAATTATATTCTGTGGGTCTGAGGGGAAGCTTTGGCAGGCTGTATGTGGTCCTCAAGCTACCAGGGCCTGATTGCTGCACGCTTGGCACACGGGAGAAGTTTCAGTTGGCTGCAGTCTGCAACCTTACCACTAGATGTCACTGAATCCTACACACTGGATGTTTCACAATATAATACAATAGTAACCTCACTGATATTCTCTCTCTCAAGTGAATGCATTACACTTCTGTACATATGTACATACATATATGTGAACACAGAAATCAGCTCACACACACATACGAACACACACGGTAGCTAAACCCTGTGAGAAACGTGAGAGCAGTTAGTAGTAGTAGTCAGGTTAGGTTGATCAGACATGCAGGTGCTGAGGGATAAAAAGAAAGGTCCTTCAATGGACATGACTGAGGTTGCTCATTGAATACAAGCGTCTGAAATACCATTGACTTTATTTTAGAGAATACAGAAATGGGCCAGGTCCATTGATAGGTGACAAGCTTATAAGAGCACAGAGTCACCTGTCCTGTCATGTGACATTATAGCAAGTTTATCATGGTAAGTCAATAGAGCAGAACCTGGGTGGGGAGTGTTAGGGCAGTGCACTGCTGTTACAGGGAAATGAGGGAGTCAAATATTGGCCTAAGATGAGAATGACATTGCAGACTGTATCAATCGGTTAGAAATGGACAAAAAGAACAGATGAAAAGTCCTTTCAGACTTTCAAAGGGCAGGAGGGAGGAGTAGCCTATCAGTAATTTGAATAATCAAATCAATAAAATTTTCTTGGCTGATCAGCCAGTGACATCCAGAAACTGAAGAATACACATGAGGTACATGTGACATTATACAAAATGATGATGAAAAATACAGTTAGTGTGTGATAAAAGGACATCCAACTGTATTTGTTCATATCACTTGAATAAAAAAGAGAAGCTGGGGCTACAGCGGCTGTAGTGCTGTCGGATGAGATGGGAAAGGTTGTGGTGACTGACAACCCCTCCGAGGCAGCCAGTTGGTTCAAAACAGCACAGGCAACGTTCTAGCCAAGCTTCTGCTCACCTGCTGTCCCATTCGGGATAGAGGGGGAACGCGAGAAGTATTTAAGAAGAGGGGTATATATACACACACATACACACACACACACACACACACACATAGCAGAGGCTTTTACAGACACAACACAATCTCATCCCTGTGCTCACAGCAGGCCTGTACAGTACACACACTGCACATGTGCACAAACGCATTTTAAGACAAACACTGTCATGATTTTTGCATGAAACTGGAAACACAAGACATACACAGACTGATTCATCACCTACGTTCTAATCTTAGCAAGCAACAGATTTTGTAACACTACTGCTGAGAGAAGCCCAGTGAAGTTATATAAACAAGCCATATGGAAAATACACGCAGGCTGACGCCTAGTGGTGACTTATCAAACTACAATAACACTGCAGTGGGTGGAAATGGTGACATCTGCATAATTACACTGATAAATTAATATTTTGATTAAATTTTAGAGACCCAAATGTGTGTTTTTAATGTATTACTGTGTGTAACTTTGTATTATGTGTCATGTTAGTTTGTGAAGTGCTGCTCTGTCACTGTGTGTATGTTGTAGCCAGAGGTCTGTACTACAAAGCAAGTTCAACATACCCAGAATATCTTTTGGTTATTTGGCTTCACTAAACCTAACACTGGCCCCCTGGGGACACCCAGTGGCTCAGTGGGTAGAGCTGGCATCCATGTACAAAGGCAAAGTCCTTGCCGCAGCGGCTGCAGGCTCGATTCCAGCTAACAGCTTTTTGCTGCATGCCATCTCCCCTCTCTCCCCCCTTCATACTTAATCTGTCCTGTCCAATAAAGGCATAGAAACCCCCAAAATAATCTCTAACACTGGCCACCTGGTTAACCAGTAACACGAAGCTGGTTATCAGTTAATTTTAGGTTTTCTTATCCAGCCATGAGCGTGTTCATGTGACAGTGGCTGGGTTGTTAATTACGAGCAACATCATCAGAACCATGACTGAAATACTTCTATGCGATGAAAAAGTGATACTGATTAGCTGTTGTGATTATGGGACAGCAAAATGTCACATTCATCAGAGTGAACTGTAAACAATAACCTTTACAACAGACAGAGAAGATGTAGAAATCATTTCCAAATGTTAAAATAAGGCAGAGGCTGAAAATACATGTCAGTATTATTATAAATTACTAAAGCATTGAGTGAGTATTTTTTTGCTGTTTAGTTAGATGATGAAGAAACTGCTCTGAATATGTCACATAAAAACAAAAAGTCAAAGTAATTCCAGACTGTTTCTGTTACTGAAGTAAAGAGTGGAAAAGTAGTCAATGACTGATGAGGTCTGTCTAACTGAAATGTTGTATTTATTATCACAAGACTGTCAGATATCAGTTCAGGAATAAATAAACTCTTCACAATTTAAAATGCAGCTACAACGGGGTGCCCATTAGCTCACCTGGTAGAGCAGGCACTCCATGTACAAAAAAGGCCCTGTCCTTGCGGGCTTGACCCCAGCCTGGGGCCCCACGCTGCAAGCCGCCCCCCAACGCCAACAATCGCCCCATCGATCAAGGGCAAAAAACCCTAAAAATTATCTTTAACACACACATATATATAATGTATCTAAAATGTGCTTAGTGTCGTGAACGATCTCTCTGTTTGTTAGAAGCTTTGTTTTAAAACCAGGGTGGAAACAGAGAGCCTGAAACAATTAAATGATCCTATAAAAATAAGCACTCTTTTAAGCTGTCACTCAGGACTTTTGTCCGTGTCGGGATCATTTTTTCCAGTGATCTGATTGGTCAGTGGTCGGAGTATTGACAGGATGTGATCCGATCCTCTGTCAGCTTAAGTGACCCAGTGATTTATACCGGTAAAAAGTAAACCACCTTCATTGTACTGAAAACCAGGTTAACTCTAAGGCTACCTCGCTAACCCCAAATCCTGCTTTGTAGTCCAGGCCTCTGGACTTAGGATGAAATATGCTCTAGCTAACTCTGGTAGATGGTAGCTCAACATTTATATTTAATATCGTACATGGACCCTTGGATGTACAATAAAGATTATAAAGTGTAATTAACTTTTAACTGCTTTGACATAAATAGGAGAATGTATTCAAGTTCAAATTCTAAACAAAAGTGTCCACAATCAATCAGAATTTGTCCATGGCAAGATGAGCCCGTGAACTTTAACTACTAATATGTTATATTTCATTTAACTCTTTGGTGAGAATACCCATCCATTTAAAATGGGAAAGAAATTCTTGAGTAAAGAAATATGCATATTTGTTAGCTAAGTGTGATGTTAGCATTAAAGCCACAGTGCAGCGTTGTATCCAGCTCAGATGTTGTGATTAAAATTTGTCTGGAAAGACTGATAAAACACAGATTTATCCATCTATGTTTCGATCGTAAATGTTTTTTTCTGGGGTGGAAACTGTTGCCTGTCTCTGTTGTGGCTTTAAGGTTATGACATGAAGAGGGAATGTTGTGTTTCAGTAACTTACCCAACATCATCCATGATACAGCCCGACCAACGATCGTCACACTTGCACTCGCCTAGAAAAAACCCACACACATAAAAATGTTCCCATGGCACACACAGGAGGTTTATAAAATGAACGGAAATACATTAAGGTTTAACTTTGTACCATTGAGGATCCTCTTCTTGTCAGAGAAGATGCCAATGTTCTGTCCAAGAGACTGAGCGAGGGTTATGGCCATCTCATCTGTTTTCCCGTACTGATGAGGAGACAGAGACGCACAGAGAGCCGGGAGAAAAAAAAAACAGCAGGAGACAATAAATAGAATATCAAATACGTCTATAAAAAATAAGTTGTGTTACAAAGGAGCTTACAAAGGTTTCCCTCTCAAAAGGAAAAACATAACTTGATTAATTTATAAAGTGGAACAGAAACTGAAAGGAGAAGGAGCTTTTAGTCATTAGGCAGCACAGCCATGGATACACTCGGTCAGGAATGCCCTTGTCCACTGCAGTTTTTAAATCCAGACTGAAACCTTATTGTTCTCCAGCACTGAGGTATACAAAGGTATGCTGTGTGGGATTTTTCTAAAAACACAATATATAGACTCATACAGAAGTAACCTCTCTCAATGATCACGTACAACCCACTAGAGGTGTGTGACAGTGAATTTTTCTGCAGAGACTCTGTACTCTGCCTGTATTACCTTACTTTCTTTATATTCTCTGTGCTCAGGACATTAAAGGGTACGTAGTCCCTAAGTGTTCACGTGACGTCAGGCTTTACAAAAAGGTAGCAACCAGGTGCCAGACTATAAGCAGCAGGCATCAAAGAAAAAATATGCAGATATGGCAATGTTAACAAAGAGTAACTGACAATCCTGCATAGTATACCTTTAACTAAATGTTTTTAAACCCAAGGTCTTATTATCATTGCATTATCATTATAAATCTTTAAGTTTATTAACATTTATCTTTTATTTTGCTCCTTTAAATTGTATTGTTTTGACTCTGTTCTTTTGGATTATGTTGTTTTAACTTTGAATTGAGTAGTTCTAAGGGCAGTTTCATAGTCGACGCAAAGGCACGCAAGCGCGAACGCATTGGGACACATCAAGACGCATTGGCCGTCATGATGCATGCTTACTTCTCAAAATGTGTTTTTTTGGTTTTTTTTGATACGCGAAGCAGCGACGCGTGTAATACCATGAGTTGCCAGTGGGGTGATAATGCAAGTGACATACTTGAAATACTCTGAGTATTTACGACGTACTTTTTGTTATTCACAGAAGAAGCAGGTATGAAGTATGGCGGGCGAGGAGGAAAAACTTTGCGAACTCGTACGGGCACACCCCCATTTATATGACAGTTCTAGTGCACTCTGATAAAATAGCAGTACTAGCTAGCTGGAACGTACCAGTGACTCTGCTACCCCCTATTGTACGAGTGATGTTTATTATAAGTGTCACCTGCGTCACTTGCGTTCAATGGATTAACTATGAAAGGAAGTGTGTCGCTTGTATCGCTTGCTCGCGTTGCGTGTGTTGACTATGAAACGGCACGAAGTGGGTAAAGGCAAACAATAAAACAGCTGTAACAGCCTGGAAAGTTCAGAAAATTACATCACTTTACTGTAATGCAGCCTTTAAAACCAGGAAAAGACAACACTTATGATATTACCATATCTGAAATGTAACACAATATCTAGTCTCATATGACAATATCGATATAATGTCGATATATTGCCCAAAAACATGCTTTATAAATAAAACTACCCTGCTTTTCCTGCAGGGTTCCCACTGATTTTCCATTTCAAACTTCCAGACCTCTCTATAGGCTTTTCAGACCATATTTAACAGAGAACAAACTGCCAGCCCTCAGAAAACTTGCATTTACACATTGTGGTCATTCAGTCCACACTCCTGCACAGAAACTTTGACGATGTCCCACTGTCAGACATCTCCGCCCAAAGAGGAGGTAAACTAACCAGTGCTACTTATACTTGTAATATTTTCCTTTCACAGATTGAATAAATACTACTACATCATTATTCCCTGCATATTTTTTAGTGTCCTATGAATAAGAACCAAAAATTTGTTGAAAAAAGGGAAGGAAAAAAAAGTTCAGTGATTTTATTTTCCCAGCATCCGTGCAGCCTTGTTTTTTCACTGTGTCCATGGAAACAAGATGAACAGAGCCATAAAGGTTACCTTCTGATAAGGACATCACTGCCTGACTCATACAGTCCCTGACAAAAGTCTTGTCGCTTATCCTAGTTGTAGGAACAACAAATAATAACCTGACTTGTAGTTGATCAATTGGGATCAGAAATAGCTTATATGAAAGGCAAAGGCCTCTAGATTATGCTTATTATACCAAAATAAAGTTGTGTATCATTCATTGAGTTTTATCATTTAATTAGGACAGAAAGGTCAGATCTTGCTTGGACAAAAGTCTTGTCGTGTCTTTAAACGATTCAACCAATCACAGATTAGAGCTCCACCTGTGACAAATACTGTAATTAACACATTCCCAGGTGTGTATAAAAAGAACCCCAGCACACCAGACCTTCATGTGAAGTGCAACCTGACCGCTGACAACATGCCAAAGATTCAACCACAGACCAAAGTGCTGATCATCAAGAGCCTGAAGACCAAGTCTGCTGCTGAGGTGGCAGACATCTTCAGTGTATCCAAACGTCAAGTGGAGAGGATAAAAAAAAGATTTGAAGAAACTGGTGACGTTCATGACAAGCCCAGGTCAGGCAGACCCCGTAACACAACTGTTACAGAGGACCGTTTGTTGCTTCGGCAGTCCAGGGCCAGCCCTTTTTCAACTGCAGCAGAGCTACATCAGAACTGGTCACCAGAAACCCCTGTATCTACCAGAACAGTTTGTCGAATTCTCTCACGCAATGGTCTCCATGGCCGAATTACTGCTCACAAACCAGCATTAAACAGAAGACAACAAAAGAATCGTGCTGCATTTGCCAAGGCCCACAGCGTGCAGAAATGATGGACAGTGGAAAAGTGGCAGAAGGTTGATTTTTCTGATGAATTATCCATTGAACTGCATCCCAATCGCCGCAAATACTGACCTGTTGGAACCCGCATGGACCCAAGATTCACCCAGAAAACAGTCAAGTTTGGTTGAGGAAAAATCATGGTTTGGGGTTACATCCAGTATGGGGGTGTGCGAGAGACCTGCAGAGTGGATGGCAACATCAACAGCCTGAAGTATCAAGAGGTTCTTGCTGCCCATTACATTCCGAACCACAAGAGAGGGCAAATTCTTCAGCAGGATGGTGCTCCTTCTCATACTTCAGCCTCCACATCAAAGTTCCTGAAAGTGAAGAAGGTCAAGGTGCTCCAGGATTGGCCAGCGCAATCACCAGACATGAACATTATTGAGCATGTCTGGGGTAAGATGAAGGAGGAGGCTTGGAAGATGAAACCAAAGAATCTTGATGAACTCTGGGAGTCCTGCAAGACTGCTTTCTTTGCCATTCCAGATGACTTCATCAATAAGTTATTTGAGTCATTGCCGAGACGTATGGATGCAGTCCTCCAAGCTCATGGGAGTCATACACGATATTAATTCTTTTTCCCAAGGCACCATGACTTTATGTTCTGATGTTATTGGAGCATGTTTGTGTATTCAAAATAAAGTATCATTTCTACAGTACATTATTTTTGTATGCGACAAGACTTTTGTCCAAGCAAGATCTGACCTTTCTGTCCTAATTAAATGATAAAATTCAGTGAATGATGCACAACTTTATTTTGGTATAATAAGCATAATCTAGAGGCCTTTGACTTTCATATAAGCCATTTCTGATTCCAATTGATCAACTACAAGTCAAGTTATTATTTGTTGTTCCTACAACTTGGATAAGCGACAAGACTTTTGTCAGGGACTGTACATGTTCAGACAAGTTTAATATTTGGTTATTTGTGATGCTATGTATTGATGCAAATTAAAGATACTGCAGCATTTTCATCCTAACTAATCTGGTCACAGATGCCTAGATTTGATTCTGTAATAAGGCACTTGCGGCCTTGAGAAATTTTGTATTTTAGAAAACAGAACATGGACAATTAGTTTGGAAACACAGTATTTTTTTTTTATACTCTCTTTTCCTTTTACTGAACTTATCCAGACCTGGAAATAACCAAAACTAAACTCCATACTTGTCCTTCCTGTGTAGGAACCCTGTGCCCAAATGGCTGTAAAACTGAAACTGCAGTAGGGCCTACATAACAGGAATAAATGCACAATAGTAACTTGTAGAAAATGTCAATATGCCTCATATAATAGCTGGTGGTGTTCAGTGTAGAGATGAAGATTCACTAGCAACATGACTGTGCTCCCTGTTGTCTAAATCCTCTGTCCAATGAAGTGAACTGAACTATTTTTGAGTTTTTGGGAACCTGTAATTTGTGTTTTGAGACTCACCTCATTGACTCCCCCTCCTTTAGTCAAGGAGCAAACTCCTCCCATATAGGATGCTCCTCCCCAGCTGCTGTGGAAACGATTCCCTCTGAAAGGGGAAAAAAAGTTATGTGTTAAATAAAAAAGACGACGAGTGCACAATAAAATCCTTTTAAATGTTCTGACTTACGAGAAGAGGTGAACAGAGTCGCATTTCTCCTTGATGAAGTCTTTCCTGTACTTCATGAACTCCCTCAGCGTCACCATGGGGTCGTCGTCGATGTTGAACTTGTTGTCGGCAGACCACGTTTCCATGGCGACCAGCACAATCCGGGTATTGAGCTGTTCCTTGAAAATCTGGGGAATTAAAAGTAGATTTAAAATCAGTAAAGTTGTGAAAGTCATAAACTCAAAAAGAAACATAATGACATGGCCTGATTGATATTAAAACTGACAGGCGTGCTTCATTTTCATCAACATCTCCAGCTGTCTGTTTAAACAGCAGCGGTCAGAGTGATCAGTGTGAATCTTACACCAGACAGCAGCACATTACAGACGGCTACACGGAGTCAGTGAGGGTGACAGTCTGAAGGACACACAGGGAGCAAACTGGCAAATAATAATGTTTGCTTGCATAAGATGGAAATCTGCTGGGGTACCTGGCCGCACAAACACTGGAGGAGAGGACGAGAGCTAAGCCTCTTTGTTTAAGCTGAATGCCAATAGTCTCAAGACAGAGCTGACAGCAGAGAGGAAGTGGTCAGTGATGTATGCGTGGTTCAATCCATATCTGGCCCTGAACACTTCTGTCCGCTCCACCTCGGTTTGTGCACATTAAGAGCCACTCTGGTTTGTGTCTCCATACATCTGAATCACAAAGCACACAGTTCTTAGAAAAATGAATAACTGATGGTCTTTGAAACACCCAAAAGGTCACTTAAAGGTCCAGTGTGTAGGATTTACGGGGATATATTGACAGAAATGATATATTATATAATAGGTATGTTTTCTTTAGTGTATAATCACCTGAAAATGGGAACTGTTGTGTTTTTGTTACCTTAGAATGAGTCATTTATATCTGTATAGGGAGCCGGTCCTTGGTAATGGAGATTGCCATGCTGCACTGCAACGTTTCTACAGCAGCCCAGAAAGGACAAACTAAACACTAGCTGTAGATGGGACCATTAGTGTTTACGCATCAGCTATTGTAGTTAGCAGCCCCTCTGTGACAAGCAGCGTCAGAAAAACACAGATTTTCTTAACGTCAGCTGGGCAATGTGTAATCCTCACTGCTAGATTCCAATGAATGCCCCTGATAGTACACACTGTACCTTTAACACCTATTACTAAAGGTAGGTTAATTCTCAAGGTATTTCCAGAGGCTTCTAACATCCTCTGTTTCTTTAACTTAACAATTACGGTTGCTAGAAATGACACGTCCTCACTCAATCTGTACAATGAGAACCAAAAGTGGAACGTTTCAGTTACATATTGATTCTTCTTTCCAAAATGTTATATTTTACAGAGAGAGAAATGATATATGTCACTCTCAGCTACACAGATTTGGAAATATAGTCACAACTTAGGAAACAGATTGAAAATCTTTTTGGATTCTGGAAATAGCTCCAGAGCAGCAGTAACGGTTGTTAAACAGTTTACTGGGTTTTTCCAAATACTGCCAGGTATTAATTTTTCAGAAAATCAGATGCTTAGCTCTGTGACTTAAAAGTAAAGGTAATATATTAGAGGCCCAAACTGGAGCTGGAAATATCCCAGTGTGAGTGATGGAGAAAACATCTTATATATACATTATTTCAGTGACACATATAAATAGAAATGTCTGTATATATTATTTTACTGTACATATTGTAATTATAACTTCATTCTCTCTTATATGTATGTTCTGCAATTTCATTTTCTTTTGCTATGTTTATGTTTTGCACCAATACACCAAAGCAAATTCCTTGTGTGTAAAAATCCCAGTTGGAAATAAACTGGATTAAAATTTGAAATTTATAGCGACATGATCTAACACTATCTCCTCACAGTGGGTTTGATATCACATAGAGAAACAAAAGGAGACATTACTTTTCTCCCAAGCTAGATGTATTTTGAAATTCATTTTTGATTTTTGAAAAAGTAGTCTGACAAAAATATTCTAACTCAAGGCTTATCTTATGAGATGACAACTGAGCAGATTAGATCTGTGTGATGTGGTTGAAAAAACTGGAAATCGGACTTTGAGTTAAGATTTTTTTCACACCCCTTCACACACATCAAATTTTGGGAATGAGCACTGTGTCTATTAGTATCCATGGGGACGGAAGTTTCCTGCACAGGATACTCTGCAGTTGTTGGACAACAGTGTGGGAAAGGGACTGTAACTGTGAGAACTCTTGCCAAACAAGGACACATTTCACTAACTACAACCTATAAAATGTTAATTTTCTGTATGCACACTGTACTTATAAGTAATTAGTGGAATATTTATCATGTCTAATGCCACTGTCAGGGTATCTACTGCGCTCCGACACTTTTTAAGGTAATTTTTAACCAAATTTAAAGATTTAGTGTTTAGGACTTAGTGCCATCTAATGGTGAGGTTGTAGAACTGAAACTTCCTGTGTGCCAAGCATGTAGGAGAACTACAGTAGTCTAGATACAAATGTGAATGGCCTTTTCTAGAGCCAGTGTTTGGTTTGTCCATTTTGGGCTACTGTAGAAACAACATCACAGACTCTGTGGAGGAGGACCCGCTCCGTTTGTAGATATAAACATCTTACTGTAAGGTAACGAAAACACAAAGAATCTGACTTTCAGGTGATTATAAACACATGAAAACGTAGGTATGAATATCATATACCATATATCTTTTTGACAAAAAGAAATAAAAAGATTGATAAATGAAATTAGATATAAGGTTTGTGGAAATGAAGACACCACAAATTCAAAATTAGGACTATTAAATTACTTTTAATGCCTAATACTTTATGCTTTATTAGGACCTGCAGACACCCTGTGCTGTGAATGTGGCCTCAGTGCTGTGGTGCTGTGGCGTACACTGGGGGAAAACAGGGCAACTATAGTCGCACATGGAAATCAATGTGTACGTCCCAAATAGAGTCTGCTTCATACGATCCTCTTCAAGGACACGACAAAAAGCATGACCTTTCTCTGGCTTCGCCAGCCTATCAGATGACAGACATGACCCCATGGCGGGTCAGATTTCAGTAGCACAGCAAACAGACGTGGCTACAAATAATGAAACATTGAAATGTCTGCCTCAGTACTGTTGGGATGCCACTGCTGCTTCAGTCCTTTGAAAAACTCATGACTGGCTGGTTAATGGCCGCACGCAGCACATTATGGGCCAGCAGGAGAGGTTTTAAATGTAGAGAGTGAGGTTGGTTAAATGAGAAATCAGTGCAATGTTTGCTCAGCTCCAATACCTGGGAGTGCTTGTGGCAAGCTTTCCAAGAAGAGGATCAATACAATTCTTACCATGTCAGCCATATTGACCACTGACTTAGCATAGTTATTCGTGTGCCCCACGGAAAGCCGATGCTTCTTGTACTGAAAAGAGGGAGAGAGGGAAACAGAGGGATGGAGAGGAAACACATAAACGTGGGATTCATAATCTGGAACAGATTCATTTTAAGCCCTGTAAATGTGTAAAAGGAGCCAGCGTCTGCACACTTTATTTGCTCCAAATATCACATTTATTGTGCCTAAAACATTTCAGCCAAGTGGATTTTGGATCAAAACTGCTTAGGTAGTATTTGGAGTTATGTAATTAATCATTTTACAGTATCATATCATATCTACCTACCATTAAATGGTCATTGATCACCATCAACTCAATGTATTTGGTCTCATCCTCTACACTGTGTGACGCACGTGGAGCCTGAGAAGAAACAACACAGTTTGTGACAGACAGTCAGACACCTTTTTTCAGCTTTCCTTAAACCTAAAACTTTTCAACATCAAGGACAATTTCAGAAAAGCACACACAGCAAACACAAAGATCAACTCATGTCTCATGCGTCACCGAGAAAAGAAAAGAAAAGACGACAAATCAATAAGGGTGAACTTTGCAAAGCTCAACCAGGTTTGTCTGTTTTCCAAATAAAGATGAGAGCCGCTCTGAGGGCTGAGGGACCGACAGCTGCAGACATCTGACTGTGTCTGAGAAAAGACGAGAACGCAGCCTCTACTCACAAGGTAAATATTTCATGAAAAAGAATAAGAAGAGGAGAGAGAGGGGTGGAGAGCTGCTGTGTGGGAGGAGAATGAGGAAACAGTGTTCTCTCTTTAGCTCTGTGAATTTACATAAAACATACGGGCGGAGAAACACCGTAATCATCGGGCTTGGACAAAAAGCATCCAGTGCATAATTATCCCTCTGTCTCACCGTCACACAGACAAGCGTGTGCACATCATAAAGTGAAGCCAACATGAGTCCATTAGCGTCGCTCTGTGAAGGATGATGATTTTCCAAAAAACAGAGGAGTCATACCTGTCTCTTTTTTCTCCTGTGAACAACTTTAGACCCGGGAAATGGAGGGCTGGGAAACGGTGGCTCTGGAAGATCACCTAGGAAACAGAAACATTCAATATATGATGTTTTACTACTTTTTATGAATGTTAATCAAACATTAAATTCCTCCTCATGTCTTCAATCATCATCTTACCATCGAGGAGATCATTTAACCCCTCGTGCCCTGCAGATTTATATATCATGTGAATGCCGACATCTCCCTGCAAGACACAAAACGCAGAGTTCAGAAGTTCATCGTAATAACTTCAACAACTTTATTTATACAGCACCTTTCAAAAAAGTGTTACCAAGATCTTCACAAACTACGCAAAATAATACAACAATCACAAATCATATCAAGGAAAGTTACAGAAAAGCATGTGTCAGTGAGGTTGCAAGATGAGTTTCATCAGGGAGACTGTTCCAGAGTTTTGAGGCCCTGACAGCAAAAGCACAATCTCCTTTAGTTATACGTCTAAATCGAGGGACTGTCAGTAGATTTTTGTCGAACAATGTGAGATTACATGCAGGTAGACAGGGGCATAAAAGGTCACATATGTGAGCTATACCGTGTAGTGCTTTAAAAGTAATGAGCAGAACCTTAAAATCAATCCTGACGTCAGAAGGGAGCCAGTGTGGGGTCACTAAAATGGCGTTAATGTGATGTCTTTTGTTTGATCCAGTTAACAGTCTCCCTGCAGTGTTTTGTACAATCTGAGGGGTTAAGTGTGCTCTATTGTTCAGGCAAGTAAAGAGTGAATTGCAGTGTTCAGTTCTAGAGGAAAGAAAGGCATGAATAACTTTCTCCAAATCAGAGCATATTAAAAATGTTCTGATTTTTTAAACCACTTGACAATGATTAAAACAGGACTGAACTATATTACTGATATGATAGTTGAAAGATAAATTGGAATCAAAGATAACATGCAGACAGGCGTCAAGCTGCTGTAATCAGATTGCCTAAACTTAACTATAAATCGATGCTGCTTATTTCATTCTGTCTAATATTGCTGACCTGTATGCTGATTAGGTGAACTGTCAATTTTGTAGCACCCACGCTCACAAAGCTATATTTGCATGTGTCAAACTCAGGAAAGCGGACAGGCTAATTGGACAGAAACCACAGGAACACATACGATCATGTGGTTGCTATGAAAACCAAACATTAAAGAGGGTCTGGACAGAATATTACAACCTTAAAAAATGCTTTGCCACTACTGTACCTGACTGTCAATAGCAGACCAACGTATATGTTTTGCAATTTACAGTTTAAGGATCTATCTTAATGTTTTGAATCTATTTTTGTACAGTCAAATTTTTTTACATACGCGCTTGTGCTATTTTTGCCTGCCTGATTGTTTTATCTATTTTTAAGGGGCTGTTCTTTATTTATCAGAGGAGAGGGGTGGCTGGGGTGTTTTTGGATATTTTTTGTTACCCTCTTCGAAGCTACAAATATTTTTCCTTGAGCCTCCCAGAGTGACTGATGGAAACCTTCCCTCCACCATAAAATAATCATTACTTTTTTTAAATGTACCCTTTAGTGTTTGAAGGTTAAAGTCAAAGGATGAAGACAAAATCCTTGGAGTTTCACTCTTGTCGTGCATGCTGAATTTTAAATGAGAGACAGAATAAAAGTGATTCTGATGAAATATCACTATTCTAAATTCAGACTTGGTCTTGTTTTTTTTGACAGAAGTGTTTCTCACACATGATGTGTCCAAGGAGCGTTAGAAATGTGAAAATCTATCAAAAATTTCTGTTTTTACAGTTTTTGGCTGTGATTAAAGATGTAATTTTGGCAGTTTTTAAAGAAAACACGCCTTCCAAACCATGCTTTTCAAGTTTCTTTTTTAAAGCATGCTTGTTTTTTTTTTCAAGGAAAACATAAAAGAAGGACCAGTCATGACGACAGTGATAGCGTTTGAGGAGCCAGACTTTGGTGTCAGTTCTAGTTTGAGGCAATGGGGCAGACACTGCAAATCACACTTTAACTCAAGGCTGAGATGCAGCTGCTGGACAGAGCCATCATCTGTTTGGAGACCAATAACAAGAATGTGCATAATCAGATTTAAAAAAACAGTCAGTAAGCATCACGTACTGTATGTTTTTTAATCCGGTGGAAAGATTTTTCAGTAAAGGTTGACACAAAAAAAGATATCATGGGCTAAAGTGTGACTTCAGTAGAACTGACACCAGAAGTCTGGCTTGTCTAACGCTTTCATTGTAATCATGACCATAACTTCTTTTGTATTTTTTTTTTTTAATTGACGTTAAAATAAATACAAAATAGAGTCATTTAAATTTGTATGCCCATCCCTGAAGCCAATTTTTTTTAAAAAAAAGTCCCTCTCCAGTGCTTAAAAATGATTTGACTTGCCTCCATTTTTGCATCACCTCCTTCCCCCTTGCAAGTAACAAACAGTCCCTAATTTGATCTAATTTTAACAACCCTGTGATTTTAATGCACAGCCTGCAGGCATACGTTAAGCACCTGTGAGACAACACTGAGGGCAGACCATCCCACTTCATTGTGAGGCCACATCCTGTTTACTGTATTCCAGTCAAGCGGCTCTGCTGTGGTGTGGATCAAGTGTGTAAAGGAGAGCTGAAATGACACCGCCTTCGATCTAAACACGATCAACCTGCTGTGAATACAAGGTATTGTGGTCTGTTTTTAATGTAGTTGACGTGTTTGAGCTTCACAGTGAGGAAGTCTAGACGCAACAGGTTGTTGTAATGCTAACTTGTTAGCTGCCAGCTAGCTAGTTGGCTAATTTAACGAACCAACATTAGCGTTAAATACTAATTAGTCAGCCCACTCATACACATTTCGCTTTCATTATTTCACATGTTGACGGTAGATTTTAGCGAACAAAACAAGTATCGACACACGCAGCTGTTAATAAGGTTATATGTGTTTCCAGTTAGCTAAAAGAGCTAGCCTAATGTAAGTTAACTCCAAGTTGGCTAAGCTAACTGGCGAAACTACTCAGACAGGCGTCATCTAGCAAGCTGCTGAATGTAATAACAGCTTCTGAAATACCTGTTATTACTCGGTTAAGGTGTGAAGTCAACAGCAAGATTGTTTTTCAGTACACTGCAATATCAGGTGTTTGTATAATTACACTGTCATGGTCTTAGTCAGTGTGTCATCAGACAGTTTCACTGGGATGATGCAGTCATGATTGAACTCTACTAATGTAGTTTAGTCACTTATTCTCACCATTATGACTGCATTTAAAAAAGGTAATAGGTAACAAGGTATATTACGTGTGTGAATTAAGATGAAAACATTCTGGGACTGCAATTAAATAACATCAGACAACTTAGAATAACAAAAAAATAAAACAAAATTGAATAATAATGTGAGTGAGAAGTGAAATAAACCAATGAAAAAGATAAGACGTGAAAACTGGACACATACAAGTTGGGGCAAGCATCAAAAAGAGGCTTTTTAAATTACTGTGATAATCATTTAACACTGTGGTTCCCAATTAGTGGTCGTGGTCCAAAAGTGGGTCGTGGGTCCATTATGTATGGACCGCAAGAGGCTCAAGAATGTGTCAAGTTTGTAAAAAACATACTGAAATTTGAAGTACAGTTCATTTCTGACGCAGAGTTTTTGGTTTGAAGTGCTATTTGTTGCTGTAGAGTTAGTGACTAATGGACAGCTACCTGACAGAAACATCAAACTAACCAAATGCAAGTAAGACACTGTTTATATCTAACTGTGTGGACCTCGAACCAGTGACTGAGGAGAAATCTGGACGCTGTGGCAGGACCAGTTGTGAACCCCTGAGTTAAAAGATGTTGCAGACTCAGATCGTCAGACAGGGAGCGCCAGATTAGAAAAGTCCTACTTGCAAAAGCCTGCTCACCTTTAGTTTTACACCAGGGTGTATTTTATAAACAGCCTGGGCCTTCACTATAGTTTGAATGGGACCAGCAATTCATTAAAAGAGCAAGTAGCCAGCCCATGAAGTGCTTAAAACATAATCAGTACATCTTAAATCAACTCTAGTGAACTAACAAGTCAAGAGAAGCTATAGCTGCTATGATCTTGTCTCTTTGAGTTTGTGCAAAGCTGATAGATAGTTGTTGGGCTTTAGTCCAAGTACAACAAAATGCACATATCTAGACGTGATGATATAAAGGCACATAGAAGTTTCTAAAGATGAAGTTTTCACACAGCCAGTCAGTGCATGCTGTCACATAAAGAAACCTCAAGCATCTAATTCAATTGCTCTTTGTTTAGCTGTACAGTCTATGTAATGCACTGCAGTATAGACAGTCCTGCCCCGCAACCCCAGCACCCAAGTCGTTCCCACTTTGTTTGCAAATGAAATGAGAGCATTGTTTCTTGAGGACGGTAGATACTGGGTCAACTACACTGTGGTGAATAGGAATACAGGGGGGTTGCCCATAGTTAGGTCAGACTGTGGCACAGTTAGCTTACTTCAGTAGTAATGGGGACATTTGGAGATGCTGTGTACAGGAAAACTATCTACTGTAGTCACGTTATGACCCCAGGGCTCTCCACTGCATTGACCAGCCACTTCTCTCTGTCTGACTTCTGATTTCAAACAGGAACTTTCCTCTTGGCCTCAGTTCCTGTCAGCACCACCATGTCGTGCCGGGACATCCATGCCACCAACGCATTTGCCTTCATCATTGCCTTTGTGTCTGTGGGAGGGATCGCTGTGGCAACGTTAATCCCACAGTGGCGTATAACAAGACTCATCACCTTCAATCGTAATGCCAAGAATGTCAGCGTGTATGACGGGCTGTGGGCTAAATGTGTGAAACAGGATGGCTATTCAGGATGTTACTACTATGATTCAGAGGTATTGCTTTGCAAAATGCTCTCCTCTGCTTTGTTTTTTTTTTCTTTCTGTCCTTAATTGTCCTCACAGTAATCATGTCTTCTCGTGTTTTCAGTGGTACTCAAAAGTAGACCAGCTGGATCTGCGGCTCCTGCAGTTCTGTCTGCCTACAGGCCTGCTGTTCGGCTCTATTGCCTTGCTGCTGTGCATGGCAGGAATGTGTAAGACCTGCTGCTGCTCAGACAAGCCCGAACCGGACATTAAAACTATCAGATTTTTGGTCAACAATGCAGGCTGTTACCTGGTGGCCGGGATGTTCCTGTTCCTGGGTGGAGCTATTGCCATCGCACCCTCAGTGTGGTTCCTGTTCCGCACCAAGGAAATGAACATCAAATACGACAAAATTTTCTCAGATGGTTTTGCCGTGTATGTAGCTATAGGCTGCTCTGGAGGACTGATGCTGGCTGCCCTGCTGATGTTCATGTGGTACTGCATGTGTAAAAAGTTGCCTTCGCCCTTCTGGTTGCCGCTGCCCTCCATGACTACCTCTCTGTCCGCCCAGCCTCTCACTGCCAACGGATATCCTCCTTCCCCAGTTTACGGTCCTCAGCCCTTCCCACCACAGACCTTTCCACCCACAGTGATCGACCCCCAGCATTATATGACCTCCCAAGGCTACGCGCAAAGTGTGGTTGCCCCTGCAGCCCCACAGGTGTACATGTCTCAGGTTTCCGCTCCTGATGGGTATGGTTCGGAGGTGGGAGGAGCTCAGGCCTACAGCTACGCACCCTCACAGAGTTACGCACCGTCGCAGAGCTACGCTCCATCTCAGGGCTACGCATCCAGCTACACAGGCCACCGCTACTCCTCCCGCTCACGGATGTCTGCCATAGAGATCGACATTCCTGTGCTGACACAGTGACAGTAAGCAGCACATTGAACCTCCTTAAAGTTCACCACTGATTAAACTAATATAGTATGATAGATAAAAATGAATAACATAAGAGCTATTTACAGCCTCAAGAGTGATTTAGTCAGTCAGTTCAGGTCTGTAAATTGCTGATAATTGAAAGTGAATCCCAATCAAAAGAACCCTGGGGATACTGTATGAAGGATGAGGTTTTCTTAAAAATGAAAATCACTAAATCACTGGTGCAAACAATACTGTATTTAGCTCAGTATTGTAGAAAGGGAAGAAAATAAATAATTTTCAGCCAAAAACACTGAAAGACACCACAACTAACTAACCTTTTATTACTGTTTTACCAACAGAGAAGGACCACTAAACAAATGGTAAATGGACTTGCACTTGTATAGGGCCTTTCTAGTCTTCTGTGACACTATGAGTCACATTCACCCATTCACACACACACACCCATTCTCACACACACACACACACACACATTCATACACTGGTTAGCGAGGCTACCACACAGCCACCTGCCACTCGGTTTTTAACACACACACACACACACCAATGGAACAGCCATTGGGAGCAATTCGGGGTTCAGTATCTTGCTCAAGGATACTTCGACATACGGATAGGAGGAGCCAGGGATCAAACTGCTGATCTGAAAAGTGAGCCACAGCCACCCAACAACAGCTCCTGATGTGCTCAAGTGTCCAGTGGACCAACTTACGAGCTACAAGCAAATAGTTTCTAGCATTTGTCATGTGACTAAATATAAATTCTTGACTTAAGATTAAAGAAGCCCTGATGATGGCTGCCAAAAGCAAGAGTCAGCTAAATTCTTCTCTCTTTTTCTGTTACATTTGTTTATGTTGGACATGTTATATTCATACTCAAATGCAGGGTTCCTGCAGATCCTTAGAAAGTCTCTGCATTGAATGAATTTATCTTAAAATAAGGCCTTAATTGGTTTTAAAATGTCTTAAATCAATATCTCAGAAGTCTTAAAAAAGCTCAGACATGGGTAGAAGAAATTTATTATTTTGTGATGTTACTTTGTAAAATCTCAAAATAATTGCCACTATCTTTCACATTAACATTTGCATCAACGAGATGCTCAGAGCAGAGGCTCCACTGTCTGCTAGCTAGCTGTCACCGTTCCCTGGATGACATGGGGACGTGCAAATTCAGCAATAATTAGCTATTTAACCAAGATTTCGAAGCGTGGCTGAAACTGACGCAAGGCTAGCATTAAAAAAGTCTTAAAAGGCCTTAAGCTGTAGGAACCCTGCAAATCACTTGTCACTTTTGCCTTTGTAAAGCCTACACTATGAAAGTCTTCTGTCGTCACTACTGAACTTAAAACTGACTGCATTCAACTTTATATTCTGTGCTTCTGAATGGACACAAACTATCTGACTCACCTGTTAATATTTTTGTGCAAGAGGAATCGTTAATTATGTCACGTTGCCCTGTGAAGAGCATCTTGGAAGTTTTTAATGCACTAATTATGTGAATACTGTGCCAGTTTACTTTGTCTTTGTTCACTGACTTTGTCATAGCCTCGAGTATTTCTTAACATATTACTTAATCCTTTACTGTCATGTACTTTTTTGAAGTGTTATTGTCGAAAACAGTGGCGCTAAGAACTTTGTTAGCTGTTGAATTTAACGTACAGATGTGGAATTAAATATTAAGTATGAACTGTAATGTTAGAACACTAACAGGAATAAGAGTGCTGTCCATCTGCACTCAACATGTCCGCTGATTATTTTGCCAACTTAGCTGAAGTGTGACGCTGTTCAGTGGTGGTAGTAACTGTGATTAAGCCAACTTTAACGTACAGTTTAAATCCTGCCTTTTGTATGTTTTGCTTAATGAGCACTGATCAACATTTCTTTGAGTCTTCATCATGTCTTTCTACAATGTTGAGGTCAAATGTTTTTCTACACTGTCATCTGTTTTTTGTTTTTAATAAAACATAAATCACACTGTATGTGTGTGCGTGTTTATGTGCTGCGGTAACAGTAACAATCAGTCTTGTTTATACTGAGAGAATCCATGCGAATAATTTGTTCGTTCTCATTTATCCGGCAAAAGACAAAGAGCAGAAATTACAAAGTGGAACATAGAGTCGGCTCACATCTGCTCCTGATGGGTTTCAGCTGATCGTCTCCATATTTACAGTTTAACTGATAAATTGTTTAAGAAGATCAGTGGTGTGAGTGTTTCTGGTTTCCCAGAAATGTATCACTGTCAAATGTTGTACTTCCTTTTGTAATTCCTTCACGATGACTTGATGCACTGTGTGATACCAATGTTTTTCACATGCTAGTTTGCATCAGTGATGCCACGGTTTTGTTTTACATCTGCATCATGGATTACGCCCTGAGATGACAAACAATCAAAGTTAAAACAAGATTCATAAGGTTGTGTAATATCGTACAACACGTTTCAATTGTTGGATAAATCAATTGATTGTTTACTCTGTAATGCCAGAAAATGTCCCTCACAATTCAACTTAAGGATATCTACTTGTATAAATACTGCTCTCTAGGTAGTCTGATGTTCATACATATATTAAATTGCAAAATAACAACATTGCCCAGAGCTGATTGCTGAGTTTGTTTGTCCCATCAGCAATCCAAAACCCAAACATATTAAATTTACAATGAAACAGAGAAAAGCCCCAAACACTATGTTAGATAAACTGGAACTGGATAGTCTAATTGGTAGACGACTTCTAAAATGTAATTGGTTACAATTACATGCTCAAATTCGCTGTTGACACGACATCATTAGGTTTAATTTCCAATAACAACAATGAAAGTGTGTACAGGAGTGAGGTTTATCCCAGGTTGCTGGTGTAACATGAACAACTTGGATTTAAATGTTTCCAAATCCAGGGAATTAGAAGTGGACTTCAGCAGTAGCTGTCAGGATCACCCACCAAAGATCATCAACACCAATGAAATTCAATAAGAGGACAGCTCAGGCAAACGTTTAACCTTTAAGGGTGAAATGCTACATTTCCTGCACTCTGGTGAATTTTTATGCACCAATTAATGGTGGAAATGTCTTTATTTATGTAAAGTAAAACACAAAATAAGGCGGCAGGTGACATAATGTAAGCCCCGTTTCCACCAAGCAGTACGGTACAGTTCAGTTTGGTACAAAGCCTTTGTCAACATTTCCTGGTGGGGTTTTTTTTTTTTCCCAGAACTTTTTTTTTTTTAACAAATGATGTTCTTAAAAAGTGATCGGGACAAACTTGGCCATTTCAAAATGTGGTGGGGACATGTCCCCAGCATCCCCAGAGTAAATGACACCTAGGATCTTTTAATATTGCTGCTAATTTCCCTTCAGGTGCTAGTGTTTTATCTGTGGTGCTCTTAGATGTTGGATTTTATTTTTCATGCTTTTATGATTATATTGTGGGTAGGGATTTAACTTATCTGTTTTTATGCCTCTGTGCCTGCGTCAGCCGTGGCCGGAGACATTATGTTTTCGAGTTGTCCGTCCGTCTGTATGTCCCTTTATTGTGAACGTGATATCTCAAGAATGCCTTGAGGGATTTTTTTCAAATTTGGCATGACTGTCCAGTTGGACTCAACGATGAACTTACTAGATTTTAGTGGTCAAAGGTCAGGGTCACTGTGACCTTGCGTCTGTTTTATTCTTGTAAAAGTGAGATCTCAAGAAACCCTTCAGGGAATTTCCTCAGATTTGGCACAAACATCCACTTGGACCCAGCAATGAACTAATTAGATTTTAGAGGTCAAATGCCAAGGTCACTGTGGCCATTTCTGTCTTATTCTCATGAACACGATATCTCAAGAACACCTTGAGGGAACTTCTTCACATTTGGCACAAACATCCACTTGGACTCAAGGATGAACTGATTAGAATTTGTTGGTCAAAGGTCAAGGTCACTGTGACCTTTCAAAGCATTTTCTTGGCTAAAACTCAAGAATTCATGCATGCTAATTATGTCAAAATTTCACCAAAAGTCTTTTAGGATAAAACCATTAAGAGATGCCATGTTTTTTCCCAAAAGGCCAAAGGTCATCACAATGTGACATCACAATGTTCTGCATAAAACACTTTTCTAGCCATTACACAGCATCATAACTGACAAACAGAGGGGGAGACATTTGGTGGTGATGTTGGTGAGTTGTTTAATGTATAATGTGCTGTATGAGTGAGTTGGTTTACAATTTTTGTCTCTCTCTGTCTTTGTTTATCTCACTAAGATAAATTCCAATCAGTCATAACGATTCAGCGATAAAGTCATGAGTCTGGAATTTCTGCACTCTAATAGAGCACTTTAGCAACAACATTGCTTCGCCTTTGTTTGGCTTTGGAGCAGGATTTTATTTTGCCCTTTATGGCTGAAATATGCAGAACAACTAAACTCGTGGTCACTGCACCATCAACAAAACACAGCACTTTAAAAGCAGCTCTGAGAAAATAAACTCATTCACATTAGCCCTGAACTATGATCGGCTCTTTGGGTAAATATTTAAGTTATCACATCACAGGCTCCGCAGAGAAAGCAGAGCTAATTAAGAACAGTGAGCACCAGTGTTTTGTCTTATCTTTGATGTAGTCCTCATGGACCGAGTGTCTGAATTAACAGCCACCAGCCTAAACTGCAGCAGTTATAATTGGAAGCAACTCCTTCTTTGATGCAACACTTTCATGTTGTCTGAGAGTTTAGCTGCTGATGATTATTAAGACCATAATTAAAATGCGTGTCGCTGACTTTGTATTGCTTGTAGCACATATACGGAGCAGCTACCACTGAACTAACTGCTGTAATAAAACATTTTCTTGACCAGCGTCTCCTTTGTTCATCGCTTCCATCTCAGTTCAGAAATAAAAACGCAGTGTATAGACTCGGCAGGGAGTGTGTAGTGTTGGAGATTAAGGGTCCAAACACAGATGGCTTTCATATGTCGTGCTACAAAGACACGGGGGCGGAGCCTGGGTTGTCAGGGGAGACAGCACCTCAGACACAGACTACTGGCTCATGAATATAAAGCAGGGAGGGGTAACACGCTTTTCATTTTCACTCTGTCTGCACATGTGAATGAACTGGTCCAGGTTTAGTAACATGAAGTTGGCTCCAGGCCACAGGGAAACCCCCCCTTTTTTTTTAAATCCTATCAGCTCCAACTCACACTGAGCTTCACTCCCAGCTTGAGCTCATATAGAAAATCCTTCTCTTGGCACCTAATGCGAAAACCCCCCACCACCCAAACCCTACAACCTGCCACCACCCCCATCAACCCACCCTGTCCTTCACCCTTGAACTCCCCCACCCCCCTCCTCCTCAGTTTTCCTCCCAGGTTTGGGAATATTATACACAAAAACAGAGATGCGAACAGCCTAAAATCAAGAGATATTAAATCTACTGTTGGCCTATAAAGCACTAAATGGTTTAAGGCCAAAATACATGTGTAATATTTCTGATTATGAACCATTCAGACCTCTCAGTTTATCTAGGACAGGTCTGCTTTGTGTCAGCAGAGTCAAAACTAAAAAGCCGATCACCAGAATAAATGCTACCATCATACAGATACGTTACATTTGTACATTATTATGCACTGTGGTCAATATGTTTAGGTTTAGGTACAAAAAACACTCAATTACGGTTATATTTTGGCTTCAAATCCCTGGTTTGATGGCACAATCCCCTCAGGAAATGAAGTGATTGGCTGTAAAAATATACAACTGCTTTTAGTGGCAGTATCCCGGCAGGAAACACAACAAAAAAACAACTATGTGGGTGGCTAAAAAGCTGCTGGAAATGCAACAATGACTTGGTAAAAAAAAAAACATTTGGTTTTACTGCTTATTGATCTGGAACAGTGGTCGGAAGCTTGGCAGGTGTCTCGCCATCCATCCCTCCACCTCACTGATGACAAAGTCAGCTCATACACTAAAAGTTTTAATATGATATGTATAAAATCTGTGGTTAATGTACAATGCCAACATTTTCATCTGGCGACTGGGATGAAACTAAAAGTGGAGAGGCACTATTCAGTTTTTATTCACCATGTGGAACAAGCTACCAGAAAACTGCAGGTCTGCTGCAACTCTCAGTTCTTTTAAATTAAGGCTGAAGGTTTTTCTATATACTGCTGCCTTTTATTAAGTCAAATAATTATTAATTTCTCACACCGCACTGTAACTTTTATCCTTGTATTTTATACCTGTCTTATTCTGTTTTAGTTTGTTTTTATTTTCCATCCTAATGCTCTTTAATGACTGTTATTAATTGTATTTAAATCTCCTTTTGTAATGTGTTTGTTTTGCACTTTGTCTCAGTGTTTTTGATGTTCTATGTAGAGAAATGTGCTACACAAATAAACTTGCCTTGCCTTAAAATGATTTAAAACACAGAAACATTTTCACATTTTAGAAGCTGGAATCAGACTCAGACAACTCAACAACTATTTTATACATTAAAATTAAATTTTGTGGTGCCCACAGGATGGATGCTAATAATGTTTGTGATCCCTTAATATATATCAAGTCAAAATATCACATAACCCAGTACACATGCAAAACTAATGACTTGCCCATCAGCCTCAGCTGTATTTCCTCTTTAGTGCTGATTAGCAATGTTAGCGTGACAGAATGCTAAACTAAGATGGTGAACATGGTACACAGGCCCTCCAGGATTTTGCAGGCTTTTAGGGGGGGACTGTTGCAGCCTAAAATAAATAATAATAATAATAATAATGATAATAATAATAAACATTATTTTTATAGCACTTCTCAAAACACAGTTACTAAGGGCTTTATGGGACAAATAAAGTAGCAAACACCATCAGGATAAAAACAGCAATAAAACATTTTGAATATAGGCTAAGACCAAATAAAAAAAGTATAATAAATAATAAAATAATGAGATTTATAAAAGATGGATAGAAACTAAACACACAACAGATTTACTGGTGGTATGGAAGTAAAAGTGTCTTTT